GGAAGAGCTCTGAAGCGTCATTATTCAAGGTGTTATATAAGACCTTTGGACCATATTTTCTCATGAGCTTCCTGTTTAAAGCTGCACATGATCTCTTGATGTTTGCAGGACCAGAAATTCTCAAGTAAGACCTTTATACTTTATTATTGTATTACCAACTATGTGTACAGAATGAAAACTTTTCAGTCACCAAGCCGCATTGCCTTCAGCTGCTTCAGTGGGGAAGGGTTGTCATGCAAGTTGGAGACCATGCACACAAACTATTTTGGTCTGTTGGTTTTCATTTTATAACACCATGCAGTAAATGTTTGACTTATGTTCCTTTTCAACACTAGGAAGGCCAGACAGGAACATAATCAATAAAAGCAGGAGAGTTTACTTAATTCTAACCTGCAATGCCTGTGGGACAATTGTATGTTTAATGGTAAAAGGGGTAGGAGTTAGATTGTTATTAGGCAAGAAGTAAAACAACTGCAAGTGGTTGTATTTTAGCTGGAGGAAATGTAAGACTTTTTAGTGTAGTTCCCAGAGAATGCTGTACATGGAAAGTATGTGATACTTAATTTGCGATACTTTGTTAGGACGAGGGAGTGATGTGTGCTAGCATAAAATGATATCCAGTTTCCAAGACATTTCCTGAAGTGTTCTGTCGAAGTCTGGTAGTTTGGGTGCTTGCCTGACCCATGTAATGTGTGGAGTAATTTATTGTTGTAACCCTGACATTTCGATTTCCGTATGTCAAGAGAACTGATTCCTCTTTCCACAGATTGCTAATCAACTTTGTAAATGACAAAGCTGCCCCAAACTGGCAAGGGTACTTTTATACAGGGCTGCTGTTTGTTTGTGCCTGTCTTCAGACACTGATTCTTCACCAGTATTTCCATATTTGCTTTGTAACTGGAATGAGGCTCAAAACAGCTATTGTTGGTGTAATTTATCGTAAGGTAGGTGTTTCTTTAAATGCACAACAATAACTCTAGGTGACTGTGTGAATTCATGGAGTATGAATAATTAAAGTTCTTAGGAGACTCTGTTGGAGTGATTCCTAACTTTTAATAGAAATAAGGGAGTATTTAATTTATAAATAAAAGCCCTTAAGATAGAGATATTTTCTAACTTACTAGTTAAAGTTCAGGCACCTTTTTCTTCCCACTGCCAAATGGAGAACCTTGTGTCATTTAGACTAGAGTTGTGTAACTGCTTCAGTTTGTGCAGAAATGAAGAGACATCTACATTTGGGGCTTAGCAGCAGTGCCACCTTATCATGGAATAAGCTGAAGCATTTTAGAAAGCTGTGAGCTGATCGCTTTGTGTGACAAGAAGTGAAGATTCTGCTTCTTACACTAAAAAAATAAACAAGCACAGAATTCCTCCCCCAAGCAATAAAACCACGAACCAACAAATCCTTACCCCAAAGACTGCTTTTTGTGTTTAATTCTGTCAGTTTAAACCCAGTTACTTGCTTCAAACTATATAACTTGCATTTTGTAAGATGTGCAGGGTAAACAGAATATGAAGCAGGAAAAGGGTTGCTTGTAATTTTAAAGATGAAGTTCTGTAAACCAGTTGGCTTGTCTGGAGAAGAATCAAATGGGTAAGGTTTCCTTCATGTTTCCTTAATTGTTTTTTATTTTTAATCTTCACCTAGGCACTTGTTATCACAAATTCTGCTAGAAAGACTTCTACTGTGGGTGAGATTGTGAATCTCATGTCTGTGGATGCTCAGAGATTCATGGACTTGGCTACCTATATAAACATGATTTGGTCTGCACCTTTCCAGGTGATACTAGCACTGTACTTACTGTGGGAGGTGAGTACTGTGTGTTGTCTCCTGTTTTGACTTTCAGAAGATGCTGCTTCCTATTGTCAGTAGTTCAGACAGCTGTTCAGACCACTGGAGGGTTTGCAACAGTGTCGTGAAAATGTTTAGAACCTGTTCAGAGCTGCTTTGTCACTACTGTCAAGAAGAAAGGCAGGAGGTTTTTAATTTGCACACCTGATTTCATTGAGAGAGGATGCTGATGGGAGCTACTGTCTTTTGTGGGACCGAAGCACCTGTAGTATCTCACTTGCCACTTGATTTAAAGATTTTGGTTCTGCACTTGGAGGGTCACCAGATGAGATGTTCGCTCTTTCTAGTCCAGACAAGTCACCAGGCTGACTCTTCCTAACTCTCACTGTCAATGAAATACCCTAAGGGGCTTGTCACTATCCACATGGGTCTCTACTACAGAAGAGCAGGCAAATCAGCCCAAAGTGGAAACCATGAAAAGATGTCTGTGCATAGAGGGATTGATCTATATCTCTATAAACCCCTCTATATGGGAGCTATATATGTATGTTTGTTTCAAAAATCAAACCACACAAACATCAGCTCAAGCCCCTACTTGATCCTCCTCTTCTTCTCCCAAGTTGTTGCTGAAAAGGGAAGAAAAGGTTGAAAAACTGCTTCAGAAAGCTTTTCTGTACATATGCAGTGGTTTGATCCCAGATTAATTTGAATAAATGTTTATGCTTGTGTGCTTTTCAGAATTTGGGTCCTTCAGTGCTGGCAGGTGTGGCTGTTATGATCCTTCTGGTTCCTATAAATGCTGTGATGGCAATGAAGACAAAAACCTATCAGGTTAGAACCATTATTTATGTGACAGAGCGCTTTTAAGAAACTTGTTTTGTTCTTTTCCCTGTTCCTGAAGTTTGTCCTTTTGAATTTTATTTCCCTCCATCTATTTATCCCTTAAAAAAAGAGAAGGGAAAGAAAGGTCAGAGGTATTGTGTATGCAGAATAAATCAACTAATTTATTTTTCAGCCTTCAGTGTATCTGTATATAATGGTCTAACAATTTTGCAGCAAGGTAGCACAAGACCAAGTTAAGACCAAGGTAGCAGGTTAGCCAGCTTCGTGAAATGCCCAGTGCTTTGAATTAGTTTAGTGTTAACCTACTGCCTAAGAACTAAGATACAAATATAAACTGCTGTCTGCCTAGTGAGCCTTAATGAGTGAAATATTCACGTTTCCAGGTTGGTGGTTGCAGTGTTGGGGAGTGTGTGTGGTTTGTTCTTAGTGGTTTGGGATTTCTTGGTTTCTCCCCCCCCACTGAGTGATGAAGAGGGAGGAGTGTTAGTTTTTGGCAGTTCTTGGTCCCTAGTTGATGCTATTTCTAGGGGATCAATTTGTTACAGAGAGTGCATGTAAGTAAACGTATATGCAAACTCTCATGTTGTTTATTGTAAAAACTGCTTCCAGCAGCCCCACTATGTGCTGTCTGGTACAGACTTCACTGCTAACTGAATTTATTGAATGACAGAGGAGATTGGTTTATTTAAATGAAACCTTTTAGCTCTTAGATGTTCATCAAAATATAACACAATGTTTGGTTCCTATGTGAGAGAAGTTATCTAGCTTGTCACAGCCACACTGCCACAGGTGACAGCTGTCTGGGATAGCTGTGCTGGTGCGGTCTACTAACTGCCTAGTGCGGAGTCAGAACATCATTTCAGCTTTGCACTGCTCGCATTAAAATACTTAATGAAAACACAAAATTCTGAAAAATCGACTTTTTTCTTATGGCTTAATGGGAAGGTTTTTGTCTTAGCTATATCATCAGAAGGACCATTGATAGTGCTGAAAACAAGGCAAAACCAAGTTTGATCTAAAGTTAGATGCAAACTGTACATCATTGAAGCTTGACTTTAGTGGTGTATTTTTTATCTGCATGGTGTAGCTAAGAGGAACCTTAGGTACAAGGGCTCCCAGATGCAGAGTTAATCCCACTTAAACCAGAGCCACAAGTGTTTTGATCTTGGTTTAGTTTTTTAGTTGCATGAAGCATTCTCTTAATTGGTTTAAATAATCTTGTTAATTCTGCATGTTTGTTTGTTCAGATAGCATCTCAGATTTCCTGCTTGGAAAGCTAGTAAGCTTTTGATGATAATGAGGTAAATTTTGCTATTGCAAAATACAAAGCTCAGAACTTTGTGGGTCTGCCAAGTATTGTGCTCTGCTAATTATTTTTTCAATGTTGTTTTTAGGTAGCACAAATGAAGAGCAAAGACAACAGAATTAAGCTGATGAATGAAATTCTCAATGGGATTAAAGTTCTGAAACTTTATGCTTGGGAATTAGCCTTCAGAGAGAAGGTATTAGAGATCAGACAGAAGGAGCTCAAAGTCCTAAAAAAATCTGCTTACCTTGCTGCAATGGCAACCTTCACTTGGGTTTGTGCTCCCTTTTTGGTAAGTGAAATAAAATATAGAAGTCTACTCTCCCGTTTGGGATCATGCTTTCCAATGCAATCCTTGAGATCCTTTGCTTTTGTTTTTTAATGACTGAAAGACTCAGAATGCCCTCCTCAGTCGTGGGGAATTGAGCACTTCTCTGTGAAAAGGCACCACTGTTTTCTTTGGAACTTAGTAACAGCCAAGTTGGATGCATTCTAGAAGTTAATGGCTGTATTATTTAAAAATAAAAACCTCCTCTGCATCCCTCTCTATTTTTGGTGGTGCACTTGAGGAACCTAAGATTAAATGTACTGTCAGAAGAGGTTACTGATGCACACAGTATCCTCAGTGTGGTAGCTGTAACTGACAGAGTAAAACTTCTGTACACCAGCATCTCTCTGAGAGCAGCAGATAGATAAGATGCCTTGATGAGAGGGACACTGTGCACCAGCTGTTCCTCTGACATAGGTTCTTCCAGCATTTGTTTAAGAACAGTGTGGAGAGGTAAAGCCATTGCATACCCTGGGGTTGCTTTAAAGTCTTATTAAAAAAAATTCTTGATATGTGAAGCATCCCCACTGTGTTTGTGGTTAGCTTATGTTTAAACTAATGAAAGGGAGAGAAGGGTGAGATCGCATCAAAATTGCTTCAGACCCTATTAGAATAAGGGACCATTGCTCTTGTCTGCAGAAGCAAATAAAAGCCATGACTACATTAGGATAAAATATGTGCTGTTCCAGTTGAAGGTGTTTAAGTGTACTTTCCAGTCTCAGATTCCTTCCCTGCAAACATTTTTAGTGTTTACATTATGTTTTGGGCATGATGAAAGGCAGAAGGAGCAGTGCCCTGGGCAGGAAACATCAGCTGCGTTCTTCAGTGAATGCTTTCCTAAAAGAAGTCTGAGGTGTTTTTTTATATCAATACATTATTAAGTGAAATTTCTAAATAAAACTCTGCAGGTGGAATCCTTAATGCTATTCTGTGGAGTCTAAGACACATTTCCCTAACAAGTAGCTCTGTTTCAGTGCACGCTGTGAATGAGTGGCAGTGGTCCTGCACCATAGGAGGGTTTCCCACTGGGACAAGTTCAGTGCAGTCCAAAGTGTGAGGCCACTGTTCAACATCCAGATTCTTGAATTTTTGTTCTTTTTATTATATTCTTCAGAACTTGTGATTAAAGAATTATTGCATGTACCTACTTGAAAGCACTTTTGACATGCAAAACTCTTCTCTGTTTTCTCTGCTCCTTCTCCTGTTTCCATGGCCAAGGCTCTTTAAAACATTGTTTAATAATGGTGTCAGGAAATACTCATTTTGCAGTACCTCCCCTACTGCTATGTATGCTGATAATTGCTGGTAACAGAAGAGTGCAGACATGCTGGTTGTGAGTCTTTTCTTTGGACCCTGTCTTGTTTTTTATCTTGGTGGGAGGGCTTTCTTGGGGTATGGTTGTCCAAACTGAGGATTGTACAAACAAGCTGCTGTACCAGGCACAGCTGAGTCAGCTGCCATACAAAGAACAATACATGTCTTCACCACAGTCAGATTTTTAACAAAAAATACTAATGTCTTCAGTGGATGCTGTGCTTAGATGAGACTGTCCCTACGCATTTGAACTAATTTTTTCAAGTTTTATAGGAGGGGGAATACCAAAGGTTTAGCCTACCTTGATTTCTGGTTTTAAGTGGCAGTCTGTATGAAGGAGTTACTGGTATTGTGATATACTGAGATATGAGTGTTGTTACCATGGAAGAAAACATTGAAGGGAATAGATCTGAAAGTGAGCATTCAGTTTTATTTAGTTTATTTTCTATAATATAACCAACACATTTTTAAAAAATGTAAATATATGGATTTTTAAAATTATTTTTATACCTTATGATTGATGATAAAAATGGTTCAATGTAATTTTCTTGTTCATGGATTTTAAGCTTGTCTATTGTGTACTGCTTAGGTACTGTAGGGCTTAATCTTTGTAATGCATTTCTGTCCATTTCTATCCATGATAAACTGGGCGGTAAATGGAAATCTAGGGTTGTAGTAGTCTCTACAAAATATAAAATGGGTTAGCATTAGGATGTTTCCTTTATGTTTATATATGGAGTATCTAGTACCATGGGAAGTGCCTTAAAACTGAAAGCAGCAAGAAAAACTAGAGATGACATTCCTCTCCTTCCCTTTTCATGCAGTGGTCTGACCAGAAGTAGCCTGGGTCATATGTGCTTTCACCCTTGCTATGTGAAGAAAGTGAGGACTTGACACCTTTCAAAGGGGAGCCATCAACTTCTTTTTACAATAGATTTAAATAAAATGTTTGTTTTGCAAAGAGCGTTATTTGGGAAAAGGAAGTTACTAAAACATTGCTCTTCCATTTATAGACCTCTGATTCCAGTTGCTGGATCGTGTGGCTCCTGAGTTAGTGGCTTTAAAATAAAAGTGCCCCTAACTGTGACCATTTACTCTTTTTCAGGTTGCCTTGTCTACGTTTGCTGTGTATGTCACAATAGACAAGAACAACATCTTGGATGCTCAGAAGGCATTTGTTTCCTTAGCATTATTCAACATCCTCAGGTTTCCATTGAACATGCTTCCTATGGTTATCAGCAACATAGTAGAAGTAAGAATTCAGTCTTAACAGGTGTTTCTATACGGAAGTAGCCACTGGGTGGAAAGATTATGTTCCTGTGCTTGGAGAATGTCTGCTGGTGAAGTGCAGACACTTCAGAAAGGGAGCTTTGCATTTCTTATATGCTAAGTGCAGTGTGAGCAAAATTATCAATACTAGTTATGGTGGGTGGGTGTTCTTGCAATCAACCATGTTACTTGTGGTTTGGAAAGTGAGTTTGGTGACTATCCAAGAAACTATGCAATAGACTTAAGGAGCAGGAATTAGGGGTGCATTTAATAATGATGTATATGTGGTGCAAAACATCCAGCTTTTAAATGTAATGAGCAGAGTATAAGACAGTTTTGCATCCATTTTCCATGCAGGCCAGCGTCTCCCTGAAGCGCCTTCGGGTGTTCCTGTCTCATGAAGAGTTAGATCCAGACAGCATAATTAGGGGTCCCATCACAGAGGGTGAGTTTCTTCTCCTGTTGAAAATCAGTGTGTGCAGATTTTGGGTGGCTTCACAGTGCTTCTTTTGCTTTCTGTAACAAATATGCTGTATTTTGGTGGATTTCACTGATGAATTTTAGCCAGAAAGCAGAGAACGGAGTTTGTAAAATAAAAATTACATAACGTTTCCACCTCCTCAGGTAGTTTCTTTCATTCTCCCAGCGTCTGTGTCCAAAGTACAGAATGGTTGCATTCACACACAGTTGGTCACTTCAAGAATTATTTGTGAGACTGTTTTAAGTGTAGCCATTTGAACTTTTTAGGCAGTTAACAGGATGACGATTAATGCCGTGCCCTTTAAGAGGAAAGGATCAGTCCCGTTTCTGGCAAATGTCTCTACTTTCTGTTTTGTGCAGAGATCATTACTCCCAGTGTCCCTCCCACTGTGCAATGTTGTTGGCCCACTTATATGGAGTAATTTAGAAGACAGATAAGCATAAAGGGAGATTTTCTGAAAAACTGTTTTCCCTGCAAAGCAAACTTGACTTTACCTATATCAGTAATTTCTAAATTATTTTTCTTACTTCCTTTTTACAAATATAGTAAAGTCCCTGTCACTCCCTCGCATGGGTTAGCTGAGCTCTCTATAAATTTAATCACTTGGTTTTCTGGTAAGCAGTTATCTGCTCTATTATTTTTTTTTTCTTCATCTTCCTTTTGGGAATATCTTCTCCTCTTTCTCAGATGATAACCAGGAATACCTTGTTCAGAAATCTTTAGTGTGGGGCTTTTTTGTGTGTCCATAGTGGGTTGTGCTTGCATACTAATATACATAGTTACCTAGGCTAAGTGTTTATTGCATACTTGGTTGAATTAGGATTCGTATATTTTGAGATGTCACTGAAAAAATCTACAGATGCAAGTGCTGTGCAGCATTTCACTGAACAGTATTTAGATGACATTCATGTAGCTCCTGGATACTGAGTAGGTGTAACCTCAAAACCTCTGCTGTCTTGGTAAATTCAGTAAAAGCAGAACACACAAGCTTTTGGTAAGCAGGGGGTGCTTGTTCTGCTGAAAAGGTAGGTTTATACCTTTGCCTAGGTGCTTTTAGATTTATTTCTGTGGTGTGATTCAAGGCATACAATTTAGCTGTTTGCATTAGCACTTTTAAAAATACGTCTTTTCTATTTATCAGCTGAAGGAAGCATTGTTGTAAAGAACGCAACATTTAGCTGGTCCAAAACCGATCCTCCTTTACTCAACAGGTGAGAATTATTACCCTTTGTTCCACTTCATAATCTGCTGCATGATAAATGATCCGTATTTGAATTATGGAATTTATATGCAGAAGAGTTTATTGCTTTAAAGGATGAACTACAGGAATTTACAAAAGAAGTTCTATGTATGGAATGCATAAAGGGGAGTAGCAAGAGGTAAAATGAGAGAAGCCTCAGATTTCAAGCTCTTGGTACGTGCTGCAGATGAGATGAGCTCCATCTAGAGGATGCAGACAGATTAGCCCCGTTCCCTCGTGTTTGTGCTATGTCTTCAGAATCTTCCTTTTAAAAGCTTATTCTTGCTGAACTGTATCCATCCTTGATTCCTGTGCTGGAGGGAACCAGTGAGGAACCTTGCCCATGGTATGAGTAACAAAGAAACTGGGGTGGTTCAGCTACAAGCTGTGTCTTCCCTGTGCCCTGTCTCCTTAATTTTGGATGCTCTTTCTTGGACCTTAAATTGCATATTCTCTGGGACTAGGATGCTGTTCAGGAAGCATCCATTGTTATTTACATTTGTGTTTACAGAACATTTGGGAAGAATCTTGGACAGGTTATGTCACAGTGCTTTTCTTTTTCTTTTTTCTTCCCCTTGTACCTAATTACATATTAAGATGCTATGTCCTTAGTATAAGAAGAGTTGGGTGCTTTCCGAGTGAGATGTTTGCATTTTCAAACAGTTAAAGTTTCTGTGCTATGTCAGCATTTGCAGTTGGTGTTCACATTGCATCTGGCTTTATATGGGCTGTTCAATAGGCTGTTTAACTACTGGGATGTGCCAGCAAGCAAGGCTGAATTATGTGCACTTTATTTCAGCATTAATTTCACTGTTCCTGAAGGCTCCTTGATAGCTGTTGTTGGTCAAGTTGGCTGTGGAAAGTCTTCATTGCTGTCTGCATTACTGGGGGAGATGGACAAAAAGGAAGGCTACGTGGTTGTCAAGGTGTGATGTGTCTGAAGAATTGTTCAGCTACTTGTGGGTATTGCCAGAGGGGTTCTAGAGTTCCAAGTGGTGTGAAGATGGGAAGAGACAGCCTTTCAATTTAATGAGTTTTTTAGCCTGATTCCTGGCAGGCCATGTAATATGCCTTAGCCTGCATTCTGTGTAAGTGGCCAGTTAAGCCTCGAGCCCACAACTTCTAATCCGTTGGTTTCAGATTTACCCAAGCAGACAAAATGCTGGGAGCTCTCAAAGATAAGTATTGTGGTGAGTCTTGTTGGCAGACAGGTAAGAGACAGGGAGACCCTATTATACATACTCCAGTCTGAGGAAGAGCAGTAGTGGTTGATACCTTCTTAGACATCAGACAATTGCAAGGAGTGTGGGTATACCCAGATACCCAAAAATGGGAAGAGCTGCTGTTGTAATTTGTACTTTATTAGACATCAGTTGCACAGAGCTCACAGAGGAAAAATGACCTGGAAGGAAGGAAGTGAAATAACTAAGTAAAAAGACCTCATTTTTTATTTTTCTGCTGCTGCAATGTATGGAAAGATAATTATTTTAAGAGCAAAACAAATGTTTCATTTAAAAGAATGCACATTTGGTAAGCTCCAAAATTGTTCTGGAAAAAGAAAGTGAGGTACTGAATCACTGATTGTTTACACAGAAAGAAAAGGCAGAACTAATCTTCAAAGCAAAATACTTTGCAGTATCTCAATCTCTTCCTTTGAAGTGACTTATATAAAACTACTTTTACTTTTTGCAGAAATCTCTTGGCAGGGATGCATTGTTATACAATGTATTCCAGATGAAATTGTTTTATGCAGAACATAATTTATAGCTATATGAAAAAACTAATTACTTCTGGCATTAGTAATGCTGCAAACATATTCTCTAAACAAATGTTTCCTCCATGTTTATGTTAGAGAATCATATTTTATTTGAAGTCCTTTAGTTTCCACCAACACACTTTATTATGTTCATTTATAGAGAGGATTATGAAAATAACATTTTGGAGGAGGTGGTAGCCCAAGAGCTACTTTGTGCAGTTTTGAAATGACCACGGGTGATTTGTGAGGTCATTAGCACTGCCTGCCTCGCTTCCTTGCTTTGACTTTGTGTGCAGACTTTTGGTCTGAAGTACCGAATAAGGAACTTTATTTTTCTTGCAGGGCTCAGTAGCCTACGTTCCTCAGCAAGCCTGGGTCCAAAATGCAACTCTGGAAGATAACATTATCTTTGGAAGGGAGATGAATGAGAGTCGGTACAAGCGTGTGATCGAGGCTTGTGCGCTGCTGCCTGATATAGAGATTCTTCCTACAGGAGACAAAACAGAAATAGGAGAAAAGGTATTTAAATACCCACTCTACCATAACAGCAGTATTGCTTGTAGTTAAGATATATGACTTCTACTTTATCTTAAAGTTGTATTGAATTAAAAACATTCAGAGTAGAAATCCTCTAGAATAAGAGACAAATTTGTACAGTGTCTTTTCCTTGTTTTTAAGCCTCAAGGGGAGGAAACCTGTCCTCAATTACAAATGAAAAAGTTTCTTGCAATGACAGTTTGTAATTGTCTTATGTGATTGTATTGCATAAAAATGTAAGGAAATGAGAAGAATCATCTGAACACTTGTCTTTCATATAAAAAAAGCAATCCTTCCCACTCCACCAACCCCTCTAAAATAAGACTGCTATGGGAGCAGGGCTGGGTGTCCCCTAACCGTGTGGCCTTCAGGACATATGGATACAACCTGCCTGCTGTGCTGCTAAGCTGATTTTCTTCAGAAAACAGGGATATGTAGGGATTTGGGTTGGAACTTGATGATCTTTAAGATCCCTTCCAATCTTAATGATTCTGTGATTCTATATGGTTGCAAACTTTTTCACAGAATTTGACTCTTCCTCGTGGCGAGGGTGATTAGACATTGGAATGAACTTCCCTGGGAGGTGGTGGAGGCACCATCCCTGGATGTGTTCAAGGAAAGGCTGGATATGGCACTTAGTGCCATGGTCTAGCCAATGTGGTGGTGTTGGTCATAGGCTGGACTTGATGATCTTAAAGTTATTTTCCAGCCTTGGTAATTCTGTGATTTGTGCTTGTAAGTGGGGGATAGCTGCCACCTGACAGCCCCAAGTTCAGTAAAGGGTGCAGCTTTATCTTCCTTATTGCTCAGCCTGTCAACAGAATTGTAGTGTGAACAGAGGTTGGTAGTTAAATTGGAGGCAGCACTCCAGAAACACAACTAATAAGAAAAGTAGCCTCTTACTGTACAGGTAGGTAGGTCAGCCTGGGTTAATTGCTTGACAAGACTAGCAAGAACTTTTTTTTTTTTAACTAGCCCCTCACTGACACTGAGAGCTTAACAGACATGCTTCCTTCCAAGAGGATTTGACTGTGATTGTTTATGCTGTTGTGGTAGTGACGTGATTCATCATAGAGATTTGTTTCATACAATGTTGAAGTTTGTTATTTGCATAAAGTGCTTATGACTTGTGCTTTTCACAAACTGTAGTAAGACATCTCTCTTGAGCTGTAAATATATTTTTTTCTTTCCCTAGGGTGTGAATTTGTCTGGAGGACAGAAGCAGCGAGTCAGTCTTGCTCGGGCAGTTTACTGTAATGCAGATGTCTATTTATTTGACGATCCTTTATCAGCTGTTGATGCTCATGTTGGGAAACATATTTTTGAAAAAGTTATTGGACCTAAAGGAATCCTGAACAATAAAGTATGTCATAATGAGATACTTGTCTCTAGAGATTAAATTGGTTTTCTTTGCTGAGTTCAAATGAGTGCAAGTTTGTCAGGTTACATATCCAGACTTTCATTTCAAACATCTGAAAAATGAAAGGATCCTTTGAGATTTTTAGAAGACATCTGCAAAACACAGAGTTTTCATAATGAAAACTCGTATTTCAAAATTCTTTTGATGTGAAAATCAAAACAAGGACAGTCTTATTTCTTAAAAATGCTGCATGCCTGTCCATAGTGCCTGCTGCATTATACACACAATTCAAGCAGCAAGGGCAGTAATTCAGTGATTGTATTTACAAATGTGAGATGTTAGAAAAACTTTTTTTCCTTATTTGCTCTTTAGACACGGGTTTTGGTAACCCATGCAATCAACTACCTGCCTCAAATGGATACAATTTTGGTAATGACTGATGGAGAAATATCTGAAATGGGCTCCTACCAGGAGCTGCTGAAGCAAGATGGGGCATTTGCTGAGTTTCTTCGGACATATGCTAATGCTGAACGGAGCATGGAGAGCAGTGGTAAGCTTACAGATACATTCCCTTGGGATAAGCTGATGTATGGTGTTTTAAGGGAGTGTGATATACGTATAGGGAGAGGTGCTTATTTCTTGGGAGCATTGAAGGTTGTGAGATTAAGTACATTCTTAAAATTTAGGGAAATGTGGAGCTGATTTGTAATAAAATTGTCTCTTAGAGAAAAATTCAGATGGTTCTGAGATCAAGTAAAGACCAGCTGGGTTTTTAACACCCTTTTCTGTGCTTATTAGGATGTCTTCTTTATGCAGATAATTCCTTTGGGGATGGGGAGGAGGAACAACAGCTTATTTGACATCCCTGACTCCTGCTTTACAAAACAGCTGTAGGCTTGCACTGATACAGGAATATATGTTAATTTTGGGGTTATTTTTTTACCTTCAGATTGTTGCAGTATTGAGTTTTAATAAGGGAACTTAGTTTCTTTCCTCCAGCCTGTTTTCTTCGTCAGCTGTCCTGACACTCCTCCATATGCTTATGCTGAAAATTATAATGGGTGCTTGCAGTGTATGGACTTGGGGTTAAGTTGTGCTTGAGGCCTGCTTAGCTACAGGGAGTTCATATGCAGCACTGCTGCTCTCAGCTGTGGATAAATGAAATGGGTGCCTTACTCTTATCTGTAGTGTGTCATCATCTCCAGAGTAACTGGAACTACGTGCAAAACTAACCTGCCAGGTTGCTCAAAAAGCGTCCAGATTCTTCTTGCTTTTAGCGGTTGTTCTATTCTCTGGCATTCAGTGTGGCTGATTTGCTGATACCAGTGCTACTCCTGCCTGTGCATACTGGTCTGGAGTCACAGATCTGCCCTTTACTCCTGTGAGTGCGTTTCTGTTTTTTGGTGTCCCCCCATCCCTCCCTCCAGGCTTGTAGCTTTTGCTGCAGTTCCCATTGCTGTACAGACAGCAAATAGTTACTTTAAGATTACCTTTGTTAGGAGTGTTTTCCCTCATCTCCCATACAAACTAATGCAGCAGATGTTTTTGTTTTAATGTGAGTGGGGGTTGGGGTTTTGCTGTTTTTTCCAGATGGCTTCAGCATCACTTTTGGTTTGTCCTTGAAAAGCCTGGAACTATTTTTAGTGTTTGTGGGGAGTAAAAGTGGCTCCAAAGAAGTGCAACTGCAACATGAAGTTGAACTATTTAACTGTCTGGTTCATCTTTAGTCTTGACTGCAGTGTCTGAAAGAGAGAGATGTACAGCACAACTCGTAATTCTAAATCTGGCTTACATTGTGTGGGCTGAGTCTCAGATGGCTGTCTCCCCAGCATTTGGCTCTGTGGCTTTGCAGTCAAATAAAAAGCTGCAAGACCTTTCCATGGCTACTCAGTTAATTTTTTATATGAGAATTGTCAGCACAAGAGGTTACTCGCTTTTGTTTTGAAGGGGAAGAAGGGTAAACATGTTCTGAGAACTGCTAAAGTTCTGGGCTGTAGTGTTTAGTTCAACAATCTGAATTTCTTGAAGGGAAGCTTCTTGATTTGTCACTTGTAGCTGTTCAGTTTGAATGTCTTGAGTATTTTCTTAAATTTTGTGGACTTAATTCCCCAAATTTCAGCTGTTTTCCTGCACGAAGTAGAAATCTACTTTCTGGAAAAGATAGTGAAGTACAGGAGTAAAATTTGCTGGGCCTTGCTTGGCCTCTATATAAATTGCTTCCCAATAGCACGGCAAGGAAAAAAAAATAAGTTCTGAAGTTGAAAGGAAAATAGCTTCCTTGCTGCGTAGCTTTATATTATACACTAGTTAGTATTTGTATTTCATAATGAAAATTAATTCAGCATTACAGGCTGGGGTTTTATATCTGCAAAAAAGCATTGTGCCTTCATGATCAACACTGTCTCCCAGTAAAGCCCAACACACCTACATTTTGTGGCAGTGCTTCCTTCTAACAGTATAAAGCTGAATTATGCTTAATAGCAGTGATGTGTAGGTAAGATAGCTTGTATGGTATGTGTAGGGATTGTTAGCGCTTTTCTCCTGTTTGACTCCTTGGAAGACAAGAGTTAAATACTGATACGTTTTGGCTTTTTTTCTGTATGTTGCTGTGGAATCTGGATCTGAGTAGTATTTCAGGAAATGCCTGTCTGCATCAGAAAATGATCTTTCTCTTAAATTAATTTTATCTTCAAACAAATTTCAGCTCTTCCCTGTCTCTCACCTGAAGTAAAAGCTGTTTGCAGTCTCTGCCTCAAACGGCAGGAGCTAATACTGATTCAAGAGAAACGCTGTTGTTCCAAGATGCTTGGAAACATGAAGTATCTCTCTGTTTCTTACTAATCTGTCCATGCAGGATCAGTAGAGAGTAGATGGGACTAAGTAAACCTGGGTTGCCACAGCTCACTGCAGCTGCATGATGTGAGGAAGGCACAGTACAGCAGAATTGTGGGAGGAGAGATGTAGCCATGTGGGCAAGAGATGCCACTCTGGGAGCATCTTGCTTTGCATCTTTGATGTTAAGATCAGGGAGTCTCTTAAGATTCTTGAGAGAAGTCCCTTCCCCACCACTGGGGAAAATGCATGTGGTAGTTCCCTGTACATAGTGTGGTTTTTCTGTTGTTATCAATATGAGGCCACTTCAGAGTAACTTTTTTTGGTTCTCTCTTCGTTACTGCATACTTTGAAAGAAAGGAAGTTTCTCAATTTGTCACTTGTAGCCCTCTGATTTGAGTATTTTCTTTCTCCTCAAGGTTGTCTTTTTTGACTCTATATGAGGCCTGAGATTAAAATAGGTCCATTTCAGCAAATTTGATCGTGCTCTGGATATTTATGGTTTTGTCGTTTTAGTTGTGCTACTTGGATGCATTTGTGTTTGTAAATATTGAAAATGGTTGAGAGTGTTCTGGAATAAGTTAATTATATGTACTTTTAGAATCAGATTCTTCTTTAGAAGGAACAGTTCAGCCTCTGGAAACAGGTAACTGCTTTTTTGCCATATGGCTTTATATTAGTGCTTTTGTTGGAGTGATACAAGTAGCTGCAGTTCATTTACAAGGTATTGAATCATTATTAGATGAATTTTATCTGCATAATAGAAGATATCAGTTTGGTTTGCATGTTGCTTGCTTGTGTGATGCTACAAGAGTTGGTGTGTCAGCTTGTAGATAACACAGAAGCAGCAATTCTCCATCTCAAAGATTTCCACAAGGAAGCTTTAAATAAACTCTAAAGATGCAGCCTGGACTTACTGAGTGTACGTAGAGATGCATCATTCACGATTGAACCCAGAAGGTCTGTTTTGTTCTCATATGTGTATCCAGTATTTTGCAGCTGTTCCCTTATATAATTTCTGGACATGTTTTCGAACAGAGCCCTCATTAGTGAGCTTATACTCTAGGTGCATATGTCAGATTTACTATGGCAACCTTGAGCATTTTTTGTTCTCAAGGGGTGAATGCAGTATAAGCAGAAAATCATCATAGTCTACAACATGAGATCAAATTCAAGAGCTGTTAGGCAGGATGGTTGATTTTCAGTTTTATTATGTTTATGTAGGTTTAGAACTTCAGTGATGCTCAGATGTTGGAATGCTTGCTGATTTTCAAATGGGAGCCTTTCTAAAGAAGTGCTGTCTAGTGCTTAAAATAACCATCAGTCCCATACTGCTTTGTTCTCGTTTGTATAAATAAAAATAAGAACTAAATCATTGAACTCTTCTTCACATTTTCTGCTTTCTTTCTGCTTCTAGACCGCACTGTGCACAAATTAACTTTGGGTTTTTAGAGTAATGAACCAGTGTTCTGTTTGCAGACACAGGAGGGAATGGCTTTATGTTCAAGCAGCCCACACTTAATGTATTGATGAACTGTTTTATGCATTTATTTTGCTTCAGTGTAAAAACATGAAAACTTCAGTCTCTAGTTCTACACAAATTTTCCCACCTGTCTTTGAACAGATGCAGGTGGGCTTTCTTATTTGTATAAGCCCTTTAAAACCTTTTTTTGTTGTTGTTTTTAGAAATTCTGAATTAATGTTCATACTTGAAAACAGAGTTTCATTTAACTGGAAGTGAATTTTTTTGGAGTCAGTCATTTGGTTTGTATTAGGAAAATAATGACATAACTTAAGCTCACGGCACTGCATTATACTTCCTTAAGTTGCTCAGAGAAAGCTTAATATTTCTAGCTGACAGGTTTTGTGAAATGTTTTAGACAACTGTCTCGTGTGTGTTCCATCTTCTTACAAATAGGATATTGTGCGCTAACAAGACTTTCTATTTTGAGAAGTGACATTGATAGAAAGAACTCTTGCTTAAATTAATCTGATTTGTACAGTTGCTTAAAAACACCAGGCTTCTGCATGTTGCTTCTTGCTTAGTTTTGTTGGAAGGCTCAGTGTTGATAGCACATGCCTGCTCTACTTACAGCTTCACTCCATCATTTATCCAGAGAGTGGGTCATTGTGGGACTTGGTATTGCATGCTTTAACATCAAGTATGTCCTTGTAATTATATTATTCTATTATTACTGACCTATATTTGGTAGAAAAATAGAAAAATAAATGTTCAGTGTCTTGGCAACTAGTGCTGTTGGGAGTGAAATTAAACTGGTTTATTTATCTGGTCAGTTATCTGCTAGTATATGTTAATACTTGTTTACTGCTTTGTTTGCACAGTAGGACTGCACCTGGTATCTAGGATTGAAATGCAACTTTTATAACTTTTTGCCTTACCATTTTCATGTTTACTTTTTCACCCCCTCCCAGATACAAATAGTCCATCTGGAAAGGAAGGAAAGCCTATAGAAAATGGAGTCCTTGTGAGTGAAGCCTCTGGAAAGCTGATGCGTAGGTGTGTACTTCTTGCTTGCTTTTTTCTTCCCCCACCCATCCTGTTACTCAGTCATGGACAAACAGTGATTTGGTGTTGATGGTATTTGTGAGAGGAAAATGTATCCTGTGCAGTTGCCCTTTTTGATGCCAGTTGTGTGTACCCTTTTTCCACATCAGCAGCTGCACTGTATGTAATGGGATTTGTAAAGGCTGAAGTTGATGGTCACCAAGCATCTTTCTTTTGGGAGTTTGATTGCTCAACCAAGACTTCTTTGACTGTTACTTGAATCTGAAAATGGATAGTTGACAAGGGAATGCCATCAGGGAGGATTAGGTGTGCACTGTGAGGGGAGGAGGGAAGCACTAGTAACGACTGATGCTGACTGGTGAAGAAACTGATTATAATCAGAATAATGTAAAGTGCTGACTTGGAGCTGTGGACTGTTGAAGTCTATTTTTGAAGTAAACACCTGCCCTGTATCATGCTAAGACTGAAAAATAAATGTCTTTAAACAGGCAGCTCAGTAACTCTTCAACATACAGCAGAGACGCTGGGAAGTCACAGCACCAGAGCAGCACAGCAGAACTGCAGAAGCCACTTGCTGAAAAGAATCCCTGGAAACTGACAGAGGCTGACACAGCAAAGACTGGGAGGGTAAGGTCTCCTGTTCCCATTTCATACACTGTCTTCCAGAAAAATCCACAGGGTTCCGAAGAAAATAGCTTCCAAATACCATTTAAATGGGATGAGTGCATTCTTGGACTTGCTACTTACTGTGTAGTACTTCATGGGAGTGCTGCTGAGCCCCAGTTTTGCATGCAAGAAGAGTGCTGACACCAAAGTTCTTGTTGAAGATGATAGGCCTGTCCACATCAAAGTTTAAAAGAAGAAATTAAAACTTTGCGGCTGTTTTCTTGGGAATAGGTTGTGACAGATTAAGAGACCTAATGAAATCTGCCCTTCAGCATAAGGAGCTGGAATTTATTCAAATGAATTTTAAGCCAGGTTTCCACTGTAGACACAAGTACCTGATCCCAGGATACCCCTGGCTTTCTGAGAAACCTGAGAGTGATGTTCCTGGGAAAATGTCAGTTACACCTCCTAGCAGTGGTGCTTGAATCCTCTTGTTAAAGATAGATCATAGGATCCAAGCCATGTGGAACAAGGATTTAATTAAAGGCTATATAATCTTGTGGTAAAAAGAGAGAGCCAAAACCTGGAGCTCCTCAGTGAAGGTTTTGGCTTGGCCACTGGTACACTCTGTTACTTCAGGCAGCTTTCCCCCTACCTTCCCTTCCCTTGGAAGAAAAGGGAAAGATGACGAGTGCCTAAATTGGTGGGACATCTAGTTTGGCAACATCTCAGTAGACAGTTTGCAGTTTGTGTTCCCGAGCAGTAACTCTCCTGAGTGCAACTGTTGTGCCTGATGCAGGGATGCTGATGTTAAATAATGGTTGAAGAAGAGGGAATTGCTCGTTTTGAAACTTGATCTGCAAAATGAATGTATTTTATTCCCCTTTCTGTCTTCAGGTAAAGGCAACAGTGTACTGGGACTACATGAAAGCAATTGGACTCTTTATCTCTTTCTTGAGCATTTTCCTCTTTATGTGTAATCATATAGCCTCCCTGGCTTCCAACTACTGGCTGAGTTTATGGACAGATGATCCTGTTATCAATGGGACACAGCAGTACACAAGTGTCAGACTGGGAGTGTATGGAGCACTGGGAGTTTCTCAAGGTTTGCTTGGTCTTACCTGTTTTAAAATTATGTGGTTCAGAGTGTTTCTAATGCTCTTGGTTACCTTGTATTCCCAGAACTGCAGCAGCAGTTTGCAAAGGATTTGAGTCTGGATTGTTTCTTTTATTTTGCCTTTGTAGAAAGATGAAAAACTTGAGTGAAAGAACAAAAAAAGGCAGGCAAACCAAGCTATAAAATTAGTCAGTTAGTGAATATGATTTTCTTTGTATTGTACAAATCAAGCATGAAAGTAGTTTGGAGGGGTGGATGAGCCAGCATTTGGTGACAAAATGTCTGACTCAGGAAATAGCTTCTTGGCCTCTACAAGAACCGTGCTCACCTGCTTTGCAGAGATAGGGTGTCATGGGAGGCCATGGCTACACTGCCTCCCTTGTAGTTGTGGCTTGGCTGAGCTGTGTAGGCTGGTGTTTCCTCTGACTGTTTAAAGGTCCATCCAAGGCACCAGCTCAGCAGCTATTTATGTGACCTCTTTGTAGTCAAAGTTCATTTGCTATGAAACCTAACACTCCAAGTGCCCCACTTGGAAATTACAACAAAAATCCTGCAATAAAAACTAAATGCCAGTTTATAATTCAGTGATCTTTACTCAGGGAAGGTGCTTAAATTTTACACAAAGCTTTGTAATGGAGGAACATAAGAGAAAGGTGGTGTTTTCACTGATTTTTATATATATATATATATATATACATATATATATAATTTACTAGGTGTAATTGTTGAGTCAACTTGGAGTGGTGTAGTGAACTCAAGTTGTCAGGATTGTTGTACTGGAGATGTGCTAATGCTAGGTGATTACAAAATTAAGGCAAATGCTTTATGTCAGAGGTGGAAGCCGTTAAAAATAAGCCTTCTTTTCTAGGTGTTGCTGTGTTTGGCTACTCGATGGTTGTATCCATAGGGGGAATATTTGCTTCGCGACAACTGCACCTTAACCTGCTGCACAATGTCCTCAGATCTCCAATGAGTTTCTTTGAACGTACACCCAGTGGAAATCTGGTCAACCGTTTCTCTAAGGAGATAGATACCATTGACTCCACCATTCCACCAATCATCAAGATGTTCATGGGCTCAACATTTAATGTGATTGGGGCTTGTATCATTATTCTGCTGGCCACACCTATAGCTGCTGTTATTATTCCACCTCTTGGACTTGTCTACTTGTTTGTGCAGGTAGGAGGTTTTACCTGGGGGGCCTGTGACCAGAAGTCATTAATTCTCTATTATTTAAGACAGTTTTTTTCTGGCTCTGCACTAGGATGAATTTTATTGTGTTTGACTTGAGTCATGCTTGGTTGACTGTGCTTTGCATGGTTTATTGATTAGCTGACATTAGCAGAGCATTTCCTTTTGTTGTCAAGTGTAGAATGACTTCTGTGCAGAAGGTAATCTAATATCTAAGCAGATTTTGTAAAAATGCCATTAGATTTTGAGGCATATTTTGTATAGCTTGTTGTTCATAGCCCAAATGTGGAAAACGTGGGCTTGTCTAAAACTTGCTTCCAAACAACATAATAGCCTTTAGAAGGGTTTGTTTGCACTGCTGATGGGCCTGTTCCCTCAGAATATTGTTTAAAGAGCAAGAGAAATTACGTCAGCCTTTCACTCCTGTCTTGTGTAGGCAGGGCCTACTTGCTTCACTCTTGCTGTACTCTTAGAAATCTAGTGGAGCCAGTAGAGACCAGAGAGAAGCAGCTGGGGTTTGACTTTGACTTTTGAATTAGTGAATCTATCAGGCTCCATTAGCCGACATTAAAGGCTGTTATGTGTGTGTTTTATAGTGTTGAACTAAGCTTACAAAGAGAAAGAGGGGGAAATGGCTGTCACATGAAATGGTTTGGGTGGTGGTTGTTTAAGGACAGCAGAGCATACGTAATGGGCTTTTTAGGCCTAAAAGTAATAGACAAACAAGAATTCCCAGGTGTAACTAACCACCCAAATGGCAGGGAACTGTTATTACTCCCTCTGTCTTTTCAGATGTGGTCTAGATGTAACCATAATCCTCATACTCTGATTTGCAGAGATTTTATGTGGCTACATCTCGCCAGCTCAAACGCCTTGAGTCTGTCAGTCGTTCTCCTGTATATTCTCACTTCAATGAGACCCTCCTGGGAGTCAGCGTCATTCGAGCCTTTGAGGAGCAGAAACGTTTCATAAAGCAGAACGACATCAAAGTGGATGAAAATCAGAAAGCTTATTATCCAAGCATTGTTGCAAACAGGTAACAGTGGGGTTGAAATACTGGAAGGCAGTTAGATAGGCAGGACATAGTGGTGCTGCCTGTGTTCCTTATCAATCACAGCTCCCAGCATTCTAGTCCAGGGTAGGGAAGCCTGTGTGGATTTATCTCCTTCACAGATGTTTAACTTAAATTTAAGATTACTTCTGAATTTCTTTTCTTTCTGAGAGTTCCTGCCTTACTTCTGGGTAATATTTTTTCTTTTAAGTTTGGATTCAGTGATGCCAGTGTTAACCACAGCTGCTTTCTGAGCTAAGACAGAAAAGTATACACCAGAAAAGTTTGTTAGTTTTGGATGCCTTAAGGTTTGCATGCTGCTGAAGCAGAATCTCAAATATCTTGCAGTTCCTGTGTCACTGGTACAAGGCACATTATTAGTATATGTAACGCACACATATTAGTAATCTTTTCAAAACCAAGATCTGAGACAGAAGATTGGTTGGCCACATTCCTAATTTTCTATGGGTGAATTACTGGGAAGGTGCGTTGTGTTTTTCTGTCTTGCAGGTGGCTGGCTGTCCGTCTGGAGTACGTGGGGAACTGTATTGTCCTCTTTGCAGCATTGTTTGCAGTGATTGCACGCAACAAACTCAGTGCAGGACTGGTTGGCCTCTCAGTCTCCTACTCACTGCAGGTAATTTTACCTTTTTATCTTTTTTTAAAAAAACGCAGCTCTGAGTTTTAAGACTGTGTCAGAAGGTCAGAACCTTGTTATGACTTTGAAGGACAGACTAATATAAGGAGCATAGGAAGAGAGTAATAACTGCAGATGGCATCTGGAAAGATGCTGGGAAGCTCCTTCTGTACCTTGGCTGTGTGAGGGGATGTGGTCAAGGTACAGAAGGAACTCATCCCCTGCATTTTAGAGGTATCTGGACTTTTCTCCTGTCCAGCACTGATTAGCCAAGATGCATCCCATGTATTTGCATTGCTTTGGTTGTTTCATAGTTTGTTTTTTCCATTGCAGGTAAGATGATACGTAATGTGTTTCTGAACTTCTTTTCTTCTTGCAGATTACAGCATACTTGAACTGGCTAGTTCGCATGTCGTCTGATCTGGAGACCAACATTGTTGCTGTTGAAAGGGTTAAAGAATATGCTGAAATGGAGAAGGAGGTACAGCCCTGTCACCTCTAGAAGTTAATGCTCTGTCCTGAGGTCTCACCCACAGCCTGGCTGAACGGGTTGTCTCCTGAGCTGAGAGATGGGATGAGCTTAGTTGTACAAATATTTTGGTTTTCTAAGTGCTTAAACATTGTTTTATTTGTGTTTCTCTGCTTTTAATGTGGGGAGTAAAGAAGTTTTACTTTTTTTGTTTTGTTTCAAATCACCTAACAACTCATTTCATCTGCAGTTGTGCCCCTTTTGGCTACAGAAGAGAGTTCCTCATGGCTTCACTTTGCCATGCCAGTCAGTCAAAACTGACTTGAGTCACTGTTTTTGCAGCCAGACTTTGAGGACCCTTTCTAGAATATTTTTCTCAGGATCTGCAGCAGAACAATGTTTATACTGTTAAAAGTCTTTCTGTTTGGCACTGGCAGTGAATGCAGTGGAGAGTGTTCTCTCCTCTCCCACCTCTCTGGGAGGTTGAGGCAGCAGCTGTTTACCATCTTGTGAATCCTTTAGTGCTTATGTCTGAGTTAAAACTGCTTCTAGTTGCATGTCTGGTTACCCCTATGGTTTCCTAATGGTGGTGGGAACGTAGAAGCAGGTGATCTGAACCATGTGTTGCCTGTATAATTCTGCTATTTGTAAGAGAAAAGTTTATCCAGCAAGTACTGCATGTGATAGCAAAGCCATTGGCTGCAGACCATCTCATCTGCTTTGCACCAGCTCTTTCCATCTCTTCCCTTCACCAATCACAATTCCTTTTGAGGATTACACACTAACAAGGATTTTTCTTAATTGCTTTCCTGTAGCCTCTAAGCCCATGTCTGGTTGAAGGAAAAACAGATCAGATATGTTTGTGTGGTTCTTTCAGGCTGAATGGAGTGTTGCACAGACCGCCCCAGCCAGTACCTGGCCTGAGGAAGGGAAAGTGGAGTTCCGAGGCTATGGCTTACGGTACCGGGAAGACTTGGATTTGGTTCTGAAGAACATCAACGTTACCATAAATGGGGGTGAGAAGGTACCTAACCTAAATTTATAGTAGAGTGTTACTGTTTATAAGACAAAGAGAGGCCTGTCCCTGTTCTGTAGTGTGTCTTGGATCCTTAAGAGCTAGAAGAGCCTCTGTAGAGTCAGTCTTGTAACCAGCAGATGTAGTGGGCTCTTATCCTTTTCAAGGTGTATCCTGCATCATGGGATAAAGATACTTCACAACCCCACATAATAGTGTATCCTTTGGTCTAGTTTCATAAGGAAGTGAGCTCTATGCTGTCCCTTTCCCAGGAATTTTTCCTGATTTTTCATGAGGAAAGAGGAGTGCAGGTTGCAGGGAGATCAAGTTATTTATAGTCTTAAGAAAATAGGCTATTAAGTAGAGGTTGAGTAGCCCTGATCTAGTGAGGTGGAAGTGGCAAGGTGAGACTCTCTGCAGGGACTTCTCTGTATCTGACCAAACTGATGGTCATATGTGCATGTGTCTCCTACTGCTTCCTCACACATGCACTCATACACATCCCACCCCAGTCCTGTGTGGATTCTCTGATGTCTAGTGGTAATGTGATCTTGCATGGCACTATAAAAAGTAGCTGCAAGACAGACCTACTCTCCAGCTTGCTTATTTGTGGTATCTAATTAGGCATTTGCTTTTTTCCTGAGTGCACACTTTCTGTCTACAAATATGGGCAGAATTCTACCTCAAGAGTGGTAGTTCACACAAGATAAATGTCAAGTCAGCAATTATAACTGTGAAGCATGAGCCAGCCTAAGGATTAGGGAAACACAATGCCATCTGCCTTTCTAGAAAAGTTGGAAGTCTTCTGTGATTGTATTGCAAATGTTGAGACTGCTTTTTGTTCTTGTTTTTTTTCATCCCCAGTGATTTTTCTTCCATTTCATCAGCCTCAGTTTATTATGTTGCTTTGGGGTGGTGTTAGCCCAGTAAACATGGTGGCTTTCTGAAACTGTCAGTTTCAGGTAGATGCTTGGAAGTGCTTTAACTCTTCTCCCAGAGTAAGTTGTTCCTGTATTTTTTTCCAACAGATTGGAATAGTTGGAAGAACAGGAGCTGGAAAATCTTCCCTTACTTTAGGTTTGTTTCGAATTAATGAAGCAGCTGAAGGAGAAATTATTATTGATGGAATTAATATTGCAAAGATAGGACTCCATGACTTGCGGTTCAAGATCACCATCATCCCTCAGGTAGGTGTGAGTTTCTGCCATTACCAGAACTTGTTTTGTAACAATGGTGGTTCTGAAATGAATTTGGGATATTATATTTATTGCTTTTATGATCTATAGCAATGAAATTGAGTCACTTCATCATGCTCTTTCATTAACTTGAAACCAAGCTTTCTTTCTAGACTGGCTTCAGTTTGCTTTTGCTGGGTTATGCCTGAGTTGTGGAGGCAAAACCTTTGCCTTGGACTCAGGGGCTTTGTTAGCACTCCACGCTGCTGACTTAAATTCTATGGACAGCTTAGCCTGAGTCTGGGGGAGGGGGGGGGTCAGATTCCAGCTCAGCACCTGATCAAGGTCCCTTAGTGAACTGGGACCATTGCTCTTTCGACCAGTAAAGCAGAGTCAGAGCATCTGGCTATGTTCTTTTCCTTTCACTATCTAAGAAATATTTTTTAAGCACTTTCAATCTTTTGTGAACTTATCTCTCCATGATTAGGATCCAATATTATTTTCTGGCTCTCTGCGTATGAATCTTGATCCTTTTGACCAACACTCTGATGAAGACATTTGGAGGTCTTTGGAGCTGGCTCACTTGAAAAACTTTGTGTCATCGCTTCCTGATAAACTTAATCACGAATGTGCTGAGGGTGGAGAGAACCTCAGGTACGTTAAAGAACTTGTTTTCACTTCTGGGAACCTTGCAGCTCGCTTGGGACACTGTGTAGCTGGACCCTAGCAATAGCAATGCAGTCTAGGGCTCTCCCTGCCTCCACCCCATATGAAAATCTGGGGAGGGAGTTGAGGAATTATTATTATTATTATTATTATTATGTTAATTCATGACCGGGCAATCAGTCAACTAAATCTTATTCAACATGTTTTAAACTCTCAAGTTTGGGAATGCAAAGTAACTAAAGAAATACTCAGAATGCAGTGAGGTTTGGTAGCTTGGGCAGTCTTAGAAAGGATTTTAGTAGCAGCAGCCTGCTATTTATAGTGGATGCTCAGAGCTTACTGTGGTTCTTGCCCTAAAGATGCAATTTTTTTTAAGGGAGTTGTTTGTTAGCTTGCTTTTTACACTGTAACAGGGATGTATGTTCAGTCTGTAGAAACCATTTGAAGTCCAGACCTCGGCACTGCATTGATTCAGTTATGCTGAAATAATTTTCATGATTTATCTTACTACATTGCCAAGGCTTCATTGGGAAGGAAATGTATTTTAGATGCTATTAGATACTCTGCAGTAAAGTAGTACGATCAGCCTTATGTATTTAGCTGGATTCTTGGCACCTGTTGTGTTGAACGAGTTCTTACAAGGAATTGCTGGGCTTCAAAATGAGTACTGCAAACTTGTACTGACTTCTTTTCTCTACTGTCCCATCCCATCTGTGTTAGTGTGGGACAGCGCCAGCTGGTGTGCCTGGCACGAGCTCTGCTCAGGAAGTCAAAAATCCTGGTTCTAGATGAAGCCACAGCTGCTGTTGATCTTGAAACAGATAAGCTTATACAGTCAACAATAAAGTCTCAATTTGAAGAATGTACTGTATTAACTATAGCACATCGTCTGAACACGATCATGGACTACACAAGGTAAAGTAATACCGATTTTATCTTGAAGAATGGCATGTGTGCCCTGTGTTGTGCTCTACTTAAATGATCATCTTTCTATTAGCTAGATGTTTACCAGTGCATTTTCAGTTGTCTTGCTGCAGAGCTGTTGGAATTCCTGTTTTGATAGGTGGGGGTGCATGTGTTCTGGCTTGCAGTGCCCATGCTTGGCCTGGGGAGCTCCTCTATCCCTCTGCTGCAGTGCTGTTGTGCCCTTCCCTCCCAGGCAAACTGGCAAGAGGAGGGAGGAGAGAGGGCAGGAGTCTATTCCTGGGTTTTGCCCTAATTTGGACACAGCTGGAAGAGCCATCAGAGCTTTAGGGAGTTCATACCCTAAACTAGGCCCAGACAGCATAAGGAATCAAGAAAGCAGGTCCTGTGCTTGTCTGAAGCTTATTCAGTGTTTCTCTTTCCATCACTTTTAGTTATAGTTCATGCAGCCTCCCTTGTCCTGAGCTGCCTTGCTGAGGTGTGGTTGAAGACAGAATTGTTGTCTCATAATTTCAGTTCTGAGCTCTCTTGCCCTATTTATCACAGAATGACCAAGAGCAAAGTGAACAATGATAAGATTTTTGTGTACTTTTGTAGACCTCTGTTTTTTCTGTCAATAGTGAAAGATAAGAGACAGGATCACTGCCTGCACCAGGCCTGTGGCCTGCAGTACTGTCAGCAGATGAACACCCAGCACAGTCATGGCAGAGGATGACATCACAGGGCAGCACCTGCTGAGGGCTTACCAGGCATCTCTACAGTGCCTGGCCTGTTAGTGAAGGTAGCTGAAGGCAGTGTTTTAACTGAGAGCTGGCTTGACTGACTGTGATAACTTGCTTCGTAAACCTCTGTCCATGCATACAGTCTGGACTGTTTTTGCTTGCATGTAATGGCTATGCTGCAGTCTGTGTCTGTACATATAGATCTGTGTTCATTTGCTTTTGGGATCATCTTCTGACCGCTTTTTTTCCTTGTTTTACAGAGTTTTAGTCCTGGACAGAGGAGAGGTGGTGGAGTGTGGTAGCCCAGACCATCTACTTCAGGAAAAAGGCATTTTCTATAATATGGCCAAAGATTCAGGCTTGGTGTAGCATTTGGACTTGCTTAGTTTGTGTGGAGAAGAGGAAGGTGATACATTCAGAGAACTGTAACTTCCCCTGAGCTGGTGTGAACTGGACAGTTCAGTTGCAGTCCTAGTTAAGTCAGCCAGAAGATGGCAACGGAAATAACATAAAAATGCAATTTTTTTCTTCTTTAATTCTCCTTAGTATTGATTTTAGCCAGCTTTAGGAGAAGCACATACTGTGCAAAACACTTCAGACACCTTTAATTTTTACCTGATAACCTGTCATATGCTCAAATGTAAAGTGGAGTGATTAATCAAAGAAAGCATTTTCTTTTCATCTGCTCTTATGTTCTGAAGCCCCCCCTTTATTTTTTTATTTTTTTTTTTTTTTTGTTTAAGACATTTAAGACATTTTTGCAAATGCTAGTTATTTGCTTGTTTGCTGATTCCTCATCCGATGAGCCATCTGTTGTGGTCTGCACTTGGAACATTTTATGGCATATAGTACTATAGTCCAAAGATTTATTTTTTTTTTTCTCCTTGTGAAATAACATGTGTGCCACACTTCGTCATTATGGCATTTACTGTACCTGGTTAATGCTTTTATGCATTCTTCTAAGGGTTTCATGTGTTTACAGTGCATAGCGGCAAGTTCACTATCCTATGTCAGTAGTGCTGATGTGAAAAAGCACAGTCAACTTCAAAGCAGTATTTAAGCATGTCAAGAATGACAATCACTCCAAAACCAAATTTTTGCAGCAGCTGGTATGTTGCAGTGTGTAGTACCTGGTCGTTCATCCAGTTCACTCAGGAATTCTGACTTGGGTGGCAAGTCCTGGTTACGCTTGTGGGGACGGGGCTGAGGTGAGGGTTTGCCTGAGCAGAGGTTTTGCAAGCTTGGTGTGATATCGATTGTAATACCCTTGGCTTTGGCAGTTCTGTGCTTCAACAGAAGCTCTGCCACATCAAGGACCACTAGCCTTATATCAAAGAAACATGCCCTTCATGCTGCTGCTGCTGCTGCTGCCTCTTACATTTTGTGGGAAAATGTTCTGTTACAGTTGTTTAACAAAAGAAAGTTTTGCTGTTTTTAAAGTTGTGTGTCAAAGGGGTCTAACAATTTGATTAGCAATGGAGTCTGGTTTTCAAGATCTATGTTGAATGTTAATTTTTCTGTGGAAAGAAAATGTTACTTTTCTCATGTTCTGATTAGTCTTATTTTAAAGGAAAATGCTGGAAGAAGGCAAACAAACTCAGAGAGACCCAAATACTTAGCGCTCTGAGAATGTGGGCTTCTGGAATGACATTGCTGACCTTAATACTAGACATTTGTCTTCTTTAGAGTAAAACTATTTATTTTTTTGTAAATTATGACTCTCAAATTGAATAGACTGAAATTTTCTTTGGTATTTTTTGTAATGACTATACAAATATTTGCAAAGAACTTGAAGTAAAAAAATTGTTTGAAAGATAACATGTTGTGTCATTTCTTGCTTTGTATTTGACAGAGGGTTAGCTTTGGCAGTTCAGGTTTTGGCCTTGAAAATAAAGATGATTAGTACTGCTTAGAGTAGCCAGGCTGTTATGCCTGATGTTTGGGCGGTTTTAGAGTGGGTAAGGAACCTTGAGTGCAAATAACTGTGTGCTGTGGTAAGGCTTAAATCATATCTCATGGTTTCTTTTGTAATTGGAGTACTGCAGTTAGTTGAGAACCAGGTAATAATGATGGATCAGGAGCAGGATTCAGCAGTGCTGTGAAACTTTGTCATATCCGTGGTGTCCATGGACCATGTCTGCTACATTTCTCAAGCAGCTTAGAGTTAACTTCTTCTGTGGAAATGAAATAGGCAAGGGATTATTTGGGAGTTTGAGAAGAAGTGGTAGATTTTGGTTTTTCACATTAGCTAACTCTTGGGTTGTGATGAACAGAAGGGTGGAAAGATTGGCACAGACAGTGGAGCATAGAATAGAGAAACAAGCTTGTCAGGAGAGGCTGGTGGTGTTTTATTCAGCTGCATTAAAATGGAGAGATGCTCTGTCCTTGCCTTTGTAAACTACACGTTACCAACACCTTCCTCAAGGCAGAGCTGCAGAGAACGTCCAGTGAAGAAATGTAGACGGGATTACAAATAGTTTCAAAAAGCCTTGTGGGTTTAGTGCAGCTTGTTACTGAGATGGGGACTCTGGGATTGAATTCAAAGGAAGCAGTACTGCTAAGAGTTCCTAAGTGGAAACTGATTTCAGATTCAAGGCAATGATAACTTTCCACTGCACACTGATGAACAGATTTACAAGTCTTAACGTATTCATGTGAATAAGTCCTTGGAAAACAAGGGAACTGCCTTTAGGAGCATGATTGCAGAATTCCACTGTGTAAAGTGTTTGCCTTGGAGTTGTCAGTATAGGAATGACTTAAACTGTATTTGCAATCTCAAATGGGGTACACTGGGAAGTGTCACTGAGTGTTCTGTGTCCCATTCATGGGCTGTTTGTGATCGTTTGGGGACCTGCATGTCCAAAATGCTGTATTTTCCAGGATAACCATCTAAATAGTGCAGAAGGGGTCAGAAGACTGTTCCTGGTGTGTGCTTTAGTCTTGTTCTTTTTTGATTATGTGGTTATTAATATGCATCAATGTGTTCTCCCAGTTCTAGATATTTATACACTTGCTAGCACAAACCGTTCTGCCCCAGCTCTAGGGGTAGATTTTCTTTTCTGTTTGCCCTAAATACCTGTCAGTCCTTTGTGCTGTTGCTGCATTGATTCATGATCCTGATTATAAATGTCTGTCCTCATAAAAATAATATATTGTCTGAATGTAACTTGAACAAAATTGTATGCATGATGAGGATGGGTCTGAACTAACCTTTGCTGCACACTGAGCTGGCTGAACAAATGCACCTCTTTTTTCCCACAGAACCTGTATGTAAGAGCTGTGCCATGTAGGTGCTTCAGGGTACCTTGAGGTAGGAGTGGTATATCTGTGACATCCTGTTTCAGCTAGGAAAGAGAGGGCTGGATACTGATCCTGTCTGCAGTGTTACTGGACCAGTTGTAGAAAATCTATGACTTACTGCAAGGTAAGGCAAGAGAATCAGCCATGAAAACCAGTAGATTTTCCTTATTTTAATCCCTTTTCATTTTTGTCCATGTTTTTTGGACATAATGCTTACTTAGTACTCACTCTGGGTAAGTGAAATCTAGCCTGATGGCATGTGGACTCTAATAGAAGAGAGGCTGGTGCCATCCAGCAGGGATCAGTGATATTTACAGCCCAGAGTGAGGAGCTCCAGCTGTTGGAGGGTTAGGAAGAGGAGCACAAGTAATTTAAAGATGTGACACAATTCCAGCAGCTGAGCTCAGTCAGTAGCAGACACCTATTTTCTTTGAATGCCTTGATGTCATAGATTTTCCTTTATGCAGCAAAACTAATGCCAGCTCTGAAAGATGCCATGTGGGACAGGAGGTGGGAGCTGTGTGCATTGCAGCAAGCAGCTTAGTCCTTGGGAGGAACATGAGCTGGGCACCCTCATCCAGCTGCTGCAGAGCAGGGTTTCCCTGAAGTGTTTTGCTGTGGCATGGCCTGCATTTGTCCTGTTCCCTTCCTCCAGGTTCCCTCCTGGGGAAGAGAGAATTATCTGCCCCGCAGGAGGATCTTCGTAGCAGGTAGACCTGTGCTTCTGGAGGTGGGAAGGCTCTCACTTTGTACAGAGCTTATGGAAGCCTAGCTCTGCGGTTTGTTGGGTTTTTTTATTGCTTTTAAAGACAGCACAATTAATTTCATTTAGGTAAAAAAAGAAAACCTTATTTAGTTGCATTGTTGGCTATTTGTGTACTTTGTGAAAAATTTTCCAAAGACTTGTCAGGTCCAAAAGTAAATCACCAGACATGGCATCCTTGCTCTTATCTAGAGAAAGGCTGTGCCTCTTCCCAGTTCATGTCTTTGCTCTGTGCACCACTTCTTCCAGTCTTTGAAAAGACTCTTATCTTTCAAAGCAAAGCTCTTATCTTTCTCTCAGAACCGTTTTGTTCCAGTCTGTTCATGAAAATGTTAGGGATCTGTGAAACAAGTTCAGATCCTGCTATGCTCTGTCTTCTGTCTCACTGCAGTAATGTGTGTCACTTCAGCCCCTGTGAAGCTAGCGATGTTAATAAACATATATTTATTACATTTATAAAGAAGTAAAAGAAAACTGTTTAATTTACTATATTGGATTTCAGTACATGTTAATATATCCTGGCTGACAGGATTTTTTCCTGCAATATGGGAGATGCCTCACATCTGAAGACCTGATTCTGCTGGAAAAAAAAAAGCTTGGGATTTTCAGGACCACCTGTAAGTGTGCAGACACAGCAGACGTATCCTTTTAAACACTGCTTTATATTCTTAGACCAGATTTTCAAGAGAGGATGGTATCTTCAAGCATTACCTCTTTTATATATTTTGCTTTAACCAACTTCTAGAAAACTTCCTTGTGATGTCTGTCACCTGTTTTTGAGGATTGAGCTCCATATTTGTCACTTACTTACAGCACCACTTGGACATAAAGCTAGGGACTCTGACTCCTCTGAAATGTGTTGATTTTTTTGGTCATGTGTAATTTTGGGAATCCTTTTTCTTTTGCCCTTTCAGCACAGCTTGATGTGTGAAAGCTTTTGCTTGCTCTTACTTTGTGCAAGCCAACAGCAAAACCGTGCCCTTTCAAGGATTACAGTGTGAAAGTATGTTTTGATTATTTTCTTTTTCTCTTGCCTTCTCTTCAGTACCAACTTGGGAAGGGAAGGCAAGCTTTTAGAAGATTTTTATATCAGAGGTTATGATATCTTTCAAAGATATCTTTCAGGATCTCCCTGCAACATGTGCACTCTTTGATCTCAGTTAAAAAGGAAAAATACCTAGCTTATATCTCACTAATGCTTGTAAATGCTCCTGGTTTTGAGATCCATTGATAACCCTTTAGAGTACTCATTGCTTGTATCTGTTTGGTTATTTTTTTGTCTCTGCCCTTGAGTAAGGTTTGGAGAAAGAAGAGGGAAAAAAATTTGCCTCTTTCCTGATATCTGAGCATGAGTATGGCAGCAGACATCAGACTCCACTCTTGCTCTTGTCCAGCAGAAGCTGCTGCTCTTAATGTGGATGAAAAGGCTACTGAACAGCTAGCAGAGAAGAAACTGCTGGGTTTTGCTGGTCTGGATTGACTTGCCAGTTTGAACTCTCCCATACCCTCCCTCATTGCTACTTTTATACTTTAGCTTACTGAAGAGAGACATTTCAATACTTGATTCTGTTTTTATTTCAGTTTTCCAGAAAATTAAGTGCTTTAATGAAAGTTACAGTAAACAGCAGTATCTCACAGTGTGATTTGTTTGTCACTTGGGGAGAGCTCTCACCACAGCTCCTCAGCACTGTGGGAGCCCAGGAAGGCTTTGCTTTCAGCTGCTGTTTTGGTTTGTTAATCAACATCTGAAAGATGATCATGCCAGAGGCTCTGTAGTTCTAGGGTGGCACATGCAGGACTCAAGAACAAAACCAGGAATGAACCACCAGATTGGCAGGTGAGTCCCTGCTACTTACCCCTTCTGCCAGACTGCCATGCTGCAGGGGACAGAGGAGAACACTTTCTGCTATGCAAGTTCCTGGTCTCCAAATTAAATTTGGAAATGTGGTGTTGGCAATTGGATATGCTCTGCTGTGACCAACTGGCACTTGGCAGCAGGGTGCTCCAAGCCTTGAGATAGAAGGAATGGTGCTCTGCTGCCCACTTCCAGCCACGTTACTCTCACCCGCATCAGTGAGCCCACACCTAAGCTGGCTCTCTTCTTCCAGGCAGTCAGTGGGCCCTCTGCACAGCATCAGTCACTTGAGGCCCTTCCAAAGCTGACATGGAAAGAGATGTAGTGGATCTGATCCCCAGCTGTGACAACAGGCAGCCACAGGCTCTCGTGCTTAGTGACATCCCACTTCCTTTTCCCTACTCCCCCAGTATTGGTGCACTTTGGGTGACTAGATTCAGTTGCTCCTTGGAGTTCACATCTGTGTAAGAACAGCACTCAGGTGAGAAGTCCTTGAGAAAAGCTGTCAACAGTGAAGTTTCCTTGCTACCATATCAATTCTTGCTTGCTGTGATAACATCTTGTTGGCTTTTAAAAATCTGCAAAGTCTTTATGTATGGCAGTATATTTGGGCCCCATGTATAGTATAAATCAGAAACACTGTGGTCTTTTTCTCTTTTGGGTTGTTTGCTTTTATACCATGAAAGCAACAAGGCATTAAGTTCTGACTGGCTTATTTTCAACAAAGAGTGAGGTTTTGGTATCTGGAAACATAATGAAAATGGAATTGCTAAGTTTCCTACAGAAATAAAGTGTATCCCATGTAATCTGTTCTCATCTGCTCACTTCAGTTATAGCTCAAATAAGATCTGGTTGAGGGTCAGGCATTCTAGATTGCAACCAAGATAACTCAATTACGAGATCAGTTATTCCTGATGGTGGCATTATGGTATACTCCATGAGTGAGTCATGCAAGGCCTGATTCTTCCATCAGTCTGTAGAATAGTCCCTTCTGAGCTATTAAGTGTTCCAGAGTATCAAATTCAGCTATCTGACCATTTTCCAAGACTAAAATCCTGTGAACAATAAAACAGAAATGTAAGCTTTGGGATACACCAGCAGCTGTAATAAACAGTTATTTCTACTTATTTCTAAAATAAATTTCAGTACATGCTTGTTACTCAAACAGGATTTCCAGTAGCTTTTCAGCTGGAAAACAGCTGTGGGATAGAAATAGGTTTTTGATGAGTGAGCAAGTACTAAGTTTGTGGGGGGAGAGTTTTTTTGGCAACTGAGACTGGAGTAAGATTTGTGAACATGTATTTTAGCTTAATGATTTTAAGATGAAGCAAAGAGCTGTAGCCATGGTTTGCTGTCAGTGGGGGGGGAAAAGGGGTATGACACAACATGAAATGCATCATGTGGAATATTGATCTTTGATTAACCTGTTGGTGCCTAGCTGATTTAAGATAGCTCCTCCAATCTCTACAGCAAAGCCTTGAGGGTTAAACAAGAACAGGACAGGAATGAAGTTGCTGTTGCTGAACAGTGTGTGGTTTGTCTAGTTCACACAGGTTGCCTGTGTCTTCCTTCCTCCGTAGGGAAGTGGCTGAAGACATTACCTGTCGCAGTCCATGATGGTGTTTATCCGATGAGCTATTGTTAACACTGTGCTGTCTTTGAACTGAGTCCTCAGGATGGACTGAATCTGAAGATCAGTTTCTAAATCTACTGCTGCTGTGGCCTCATCTAGAATCAGGATTTTGGCTTTCCGAAGAAGTGCTCTGGCCAGACAAACCAGCTGTTTCTGACCAGTGCTGCAAGTAAGAAGAGGGATGGTAAACTGAGAGCAGTTGTCACTTTTCTCTGGGGTCAGAGTACATGATAAATTTGGAAATAGTAATTAAAAGGTGATAGTTCCCTTTGTTTGAAAGGGTAATTAGGCTGGTGGCACTGCAGGTAGCAGTATGAAACAACCCAAGGAAATTAAGGCAGTGTATTGCCATAGCACCAAGGACTCTGCACTTGGAACCAGAATTCCAGTGTTTAAGCACTGCACAAGCAGAAGCCACCACAATGATTAAATCTCAAAGGTCTTCCAGTTGGTGTCTTATGATTTGATTTCATTCTGTTAAGGAATTTTCTATCTGCGCACCACTTTCTTTTTAAACTTTTAAATTTTAAAAAATCAGACTCCTTGTCCCTCTAGCTCTGTGTTCTCCTAGCCCTCGGGCTGGTACTGCCCTGACCCTGTCTTTATGCATATAAGGTACCTTAGGTTTTCCCCTTGGTCAGTGCATTTATATTCCAACTGATCTGGCAAGTCTGCAACAAAGTTCTTGAGCTGAGCCAGTTCCAGAGCTGTCCAGATGTCTGCATCAGTGTATTGGTTTAGTGGGTCGAGATTCATTCTTAGAGAGCCAGAAAACAAAACTGGATCCTGAGCACAGAGACAGTACAAACAACTCCAGAAATTAAATACAAAAACAAGATCTCTGCTTCTCCCTGCTGGGTGCAAACCTGTGGCTACTGTTACATTTAATGGGAGACTGGCATGGCGTAGAGCTTATTTCCAACTTAGAAACTGCTGAATGCCCATCCTCTGATGGAATCTTTATAAGCCTTTTCTAGATGTTAAGATTTAAAACACTGCTGATTCATTTTTGGAAATTCATTGCATACCTGGGGAATGACAGTTATCTTGGTTCTAAGGTCATGGAGACCTAGTTGAGCAATATCTAGTCCATCAATTAAGATCATTCCTTCCGCTGCTTCCACTAATCGCAGCAATCCCACAGCAAGAGTAGATTTCCCAGCTCCTGTTCTTCCAGTTATGCCAATCTGTAAGTGTAATGGAAAGCTTTTGGTTTTGATATTCATCGTTTTCTACAGTTAGACAGACCTGTCATGTAGTGCCTCTTGGCCTTTTGAGGAGAGACAGCTTTGCATGGATCAGATCTTTGGGGCTGTTCAAGATTCACATATTCTAGCTGTATATTCTTAAAGGGAATAATTTATAAATGTTTTGTATGAAAAAGTATCTTGAAAGCCTTTGATGGGAAGAATAATTACTAAGCTTAGCAGCTAGGACAGGGTCTTGATGTAGCAGTAGATTTAAAAAGTGAAATTCCTTTGCTGTAACTCTGCTAACCTGTGAAATTAAGTTTTACTCAAAGAATGTCTATTGTATGCAGCAATCCTGGAGACATTTTTTACTAGAAGAAGTGTGCACAATGATAGATGGGCTGCAGCTTTCACGCTTACAGGCTACACACCTTGAGGTAGGGCAGAGACAGGATCTGCCCAGATAAAGTCACTGCAGAGTGCTGCTCACACTTCCTAGCTCCCCTGAAGGAAGTGGCTTTGCTTACCTTCTCCTGTCCGTTGATGGTTAGGGTGATGTGCTTCAGTGCTAACTCCAAATTTGGCCTGTACCTCAAACTATAGTTTCTAAATTCAATTTTTCCTTCAGTGAGCCAAACTTTCTCTTGAAGTTTGCTATTCAGAGCCCAGGGTGCCTAAATAGATGAAAACAAACAGCGATGTATAAAGCTGATTTAAATTACCAAATTGAGTAGCCATACTGAAATAGGAAACGTATTAAGACATCTGTGCCAAATTCCCCCAATCTATTTACTGTTTCCAAAAGGGATAAAGGCCTCCAACTTTCATATTGCAAATGCTGACTTTTTACTTTATGCAAAGATGCCAGTCCCCTTAACTAGAAATGGAGATAAACATTTGGTTGTGTGCTACAGTTCTGACATTATGAGTGGTTCACTAAAAAAAGATTTGTATGCCCCTGTAAAGAGGACTGTGAAAGTCTCCTTTAGTGGGATCTCAGGGCAGCATATGGATAAATAATGATTACAGAACAAAACTTATTGCACTGGAGACTTTCAGTGGCCAAAAGGCTATCTAGCAGCCATCAGTTATCAGAGAATTGCATCTGAACTCACAACAAATACATACTCCAAATATGGGCAGAAAATACGGCTCATTCCATGAGTGTTACCAAGTGAAGCTATTTTAATGGCAATCTAATGCCTAACTGTCTTAAGGAAATAATGATGATCAGAGGTTATAAAACAAGTCTAGTTAGTTGGAGAAAATCCAAATGCTGCACTTCTTTAAAGGAAACATAACTGGTCTTTTAGAAGGAGAAAACTAGGGGATTTGTCCAGATGGAACAGAGAACTTACTCAGTTTGCATAAATGTTCACCTCTGCTAGTAAGCAATAGTTAGGTACCTCCTTAGGAGTCTTCAAGTATTCTGTCACTCTCTCCACAGAAACAATGTTGTTTTCTATGTCTGTCCAGGAGCGCACCATCCAGTTCAGAACACCAGTTATCTAGCAGAAAGAAACAGAAGCATTAGGGCAGGTAAAACAAGACTTGACCTGTGCTTGCAAGGTACCTTGTACTTTGTCTTCATGCTTATTTATAAAGACTTTGTCATCAGCTAATTAAATGATAAATCATCCCTTACAAGGCTGAAAAATAACCATGGATCCTTATAAAAATGTGTGAAGCTGTGTTTAGAGTTTAGCCAGCTCCTCCCTTAGCTTCCTCTCAGCAAGTTTATAGAAAGGGAATTGCCACTGACTAGGATGCTAAAAGATAGTGTAGCTATTTGTTAGGCTATTGTGTAACTCGTCTACAAACAGGTACAACAGATGCTGAGGACTGTTCTTCAGTCTCTGAGAGCATGCTGTGACTCAAGTCTGAGTTCAGATGCAGGAGGAAAAAGATGTCTGGTGCATGTGTTTATAAAGTTCATTCTCTAAAGGCTGGGTTTCAACAGTGACAGCAGGGTTTGGTAGAAGAAGGCATCTGGGAAGCCACAGAAGTAGTTCATGATTTCTTAGAAATGGTAGAAGAAATTAAAATGCAAGTTGCTTCTGATGAAAGGCAAGCATGGTATTACTTTAGTGCTGAGTTACCTGAAGAGCATATGAAATGGAGAAGCCAGCAGTTCCTGGACTAAGGTGTGTTCTGCCCATGACTGCAAACAGTGCTGCGAACAACACAATGCCATTGCCTAGGAACTCCAGGTTTGTAGCAAGCCACCTGCAGGACGAGGAGGATACAGGCCTGTTGCTGGGTGCCCTCTTCCATTCTCCCAACAGAATCTGTGATTACTCTGCAAAACACATGTGGAGCTGCCGGGGTACAGGATGCTCAACAAAGCTCTTGTCACCCTATGGTTGCTCTTATCCAGCTACCTTGGAGCTCATGAATGGTTCCAGTCTGTCTGAACTGTTTGGTTTATGGTCTCTGTTAGGATTTTCTCTGAGGCCTGTTGGATAAGAGCAGCTAGCATGCAGTTTCTTGGGTGAGTTGGTCTAACATCTCTCACTTCTCATTTGTGTCATGACTGGTGGCTGTATTGTCTGATGGGTTCTAAAGATGCCACAGACCTCATGTACTGTGTCAGGTGACGATTGGCCTCACCAGACATGTACCTCAGCTTCCTGCATTTTGGTCACCAAGCAATACGTCCAGCAGCGTGTCAGCACGTGTGTGCCTAGCCACACAGCAGAGATGGGAACACGCTGCTTGTGCAAGGGGCACGTTGCCAGGGCTGCAGCACGAGTGATAATGAAAGAGGGTCCCCTGCCCCTAAAACACTGTGCACTCCTGTCTCATCTTCTGTGTACCTCCCCCCCAGTCCCCAAAGAGCAGTTATCTCCACTCATCAAAGTTGTGAGAGTAAACGTCATTTTTTCACACTCCAGATTTGTACCTGTCAGCAACTGCTCCAGGGAAGCACATTCGGTGATTCTCATCCACTAGAAAATTGCTCTTCAAAATAAACCTCTCCTGGTCCTTGTGAGCACGGATCACACTGCTCCCTTGGTAAGTTTCTGAAATGTGGGAGTAGATGGGTGACCTGCTGGCAGCCTCTATGCGTCTCAGCTGGCAGGAGGTGATGACGTAGAAGTGCTGGTACAAAGGGAAATGGAAAGGGAAGTGATTAGAGTTGATACCTCTGTGGAGATGCTCCACAGAAGTCTGGGAAGCCCCCAAGGTGTGCAATACTGTGTGCTATCCTAGTGTTACAAAACCTAATGTGCAGGTAGGAGATGCCCTTAAAAGTGAGGTAGCATTTTTGCCTGTGCCATGTCCTGTCTTTATTAAGAATAACCTTGTAGTTAGTTAATGCAAAGAAGCCAAGGTAATCTGAACTCAGAAGGCTCTCATCTCACTCCTACTTTCTCCTGTAGACCAGCCCTTTGCCTGATGGAGAACACTCATACTTGCTCTTCCCTCATGTTCAGTCTTAGCTGGCAAAACACTGGACATTCCATAGAGCTGAATTATTTACATGGATATATTAAAAAGCAGTGTAGGAATTCTGAAGGAAAGGGAAAATGGTTTTGGTCTTAATATGATTGCATTTACATTAATGGAGACAAGAAATATGCTCTAGGTGGGATTTGATCTGGACGTCAGAAAAGCATGATGTGACATTACTGTTGTTCGGAGGCCATTTGAGATGATAAAGTGAATTTCTACATGTTTCCACTCCTAAGAAGTGGATCCTTTCTGCAGGGACACAGCTGTGCTCCTTCAGCCTCTCCTGTCTATCTGTGTAAGCTCCTACCTGAAATGCAGCATAAAGAACAGTCAAAGGCACTATGGCGATTGCTGCCTTTGGTGTAGCCACTATAATCACAATGTAGATTTCCAGCAAGTTGAAGAAGAATCCCAGCAAAGACTTCAGCTTGTCAGGGATGACAGAATCAATAGCATCCATTTCTCTGGAGAAGTGGTTCAGCAAGTTTCCAATGGGGGTTTGCTCAAAGAAGACCATTGGGGATCTAGTAACGTTCTTCAGCAACTGCAGAAACAGGTTGTGGGAGGCTAACACACCACCTAGAAGGACTGCTGCTATGGAGGCAAATCTGCACAGGGCTGTAAAATAAAAAATAACTATTATTAGGGCTGAACAAACTCACCTTGGAGTTCCTTTTTGTGAGATCATGACTGTTAGTGCTGTGAATCCTAGCAAAAGGAGCTGAATTGCTCTTTGGTAGCAATTAAGCCAGGTCTCAGAGCTGCAGGGTAAACTACCCCTTTCTGTAGGGTAGTTATAGAGGGGTGGAGGACTTTCTGAGCAAGCTTGATGTGGGCTTCAGATTCAGAAACTTAAACATGCAGGACAAATTATTTTTTCTTCACAAAATGAGCTTGACTGGAATTACTTTGAATACTCAAAGCCTTAGGTTTCCTCCCTATGGGTTCACTTTTAGCACAAAAGGGTACCCAAACCTTCCCACTCCTCCCAACTTGTTCAAGTTTCTCAAAATTTTTTGTCACTTAGGCTGAGATTTTTCCAGATTTTATTTTTCCTAAAAAAAATTATTAGGTTTTTTTAGACAGTGACCAAAATATTTGTGGCCATTTTAAAAATTCCTTTTTCACTGTCTTTATACTCAAAAGACCTAAGCTAAGATATAATTCGGCATGAAGAAGAGCCACCACTTGGATATAACTAATTTATATTGGAGGAATGGAAAGGGATAAGGGGAAGCAAGATGTGCAGAAGATGCTGGATACAAGAGGGCAGGATAGAAAAATAAGGATGTTGTGGTTCTTTCATTGCTGAATGTTTTGGGGCTCGTGTCATTTAGTTTCACCAGGAGTCAGAGGAAGACACTATTCATTATGGTCTGGTGAAAGGCACAAAAGAACACTTCAAGCATACTGTGAGGTAGAATTTCAGGCAGTAACACTGGAAATATTGTTCAGATCCCTTAGAAATCTTCTCTGCATCACAGCATGTAACTTTAGTTCCCATGCCAACCCTCTAGTGCTGGTGCCAAGAGCTCATGGGTATGCACTTGTTTATATTCTGAGAAAACATCCTGGATATGGGAAAGAAAGATGGAAATACAGAGGAGAATTAGGTGAGCAAGTTAAACGAACCTTGAATTATTCCTAGTGCACCAAAAACCCCAGCTCTTAGCTCTGTGTACTCTTGTGTCCCATTGTGAACAGGATCGTCTGTCCACATGCTGAGCCAGTAGCCACGAGAAAATGACACAGCTTGCTGGCATGTGAACATCAGGATGATGTACGCGCACAGTGGTAAGCCCATTGCCCTCAGGTAGGCTGCATAAATCCAGGTATTGATCTAGAGTGAAACAGTTGGGGAAAAATTGGAGAGGCTGGGAGGATCAAACTGGTTAGCAAGGAAAGGCAGTTCTGAAACAAGAAATGACAACTTATGGCATATCTACTCAATTATATGTCACAGCCAGAGCAACCATGTTAATTCTTTTTTTTGTTGTCCTCATGGATAAATAATGAAGTAATACTTCTATAAATCCATTGTATTAATGAGTGATTACTATCAACTAATGAATGGTACTGCAATAGGCTTGTGTTACTGCTGGATAGCATGAAAGGCTTTCCTTATGCCAGGCAGTGGTTTTCATTTCTTCTTGGTATGAGGAAGAACTATTGTGTATCCCACTGACTGCTTGTGTGAGTAACTGCTGATGGGCAGAGGTGAGGAGATCCTGCTCCAGCTGATACTGTGCTTATTCAGGAAAAGAGCTGCCTCCTTTGGGGTATCTGACTTCTTATTCCTATCTCTTCTCAGTACCAGTGTGTAGCTTGAACTGCTTGTTACCTCCCAATGTTTTGTTCCTGCTACAGTGTGCCATGAATACACACCTCATCTACGCCGGACCCCTCTGAACTGGAAGCCCACACCTGCTTCTTTCCTTTCACAGCACTGTCCGTGCCTCAGCTTTTTGAGGTGTTTCCCATGGGCAAGATGAGAACAGTGATATGCCTTTTTGCCCCTTCCCACCAACCTCAAGAGTTTGTAGACAAACTCAAGATTACAAGTCCCTTGTAATCTTATCTTTTTCTGTCCCTTGCCACCACCTCGTCCTGATTGCCTTGGTGTGCTTTTCCCATTCAGGTAACTCTTGAATCAGGATCTCTCTCCTCAAGTAGTCATAATTTTTCCTATCCCTCCTCTCATCTCCATAATGTTCTCTCTGCAATGTACATGCATTATTCCCATTTTGGAACCTGTGCTTAGATCAGGGCATTAAGGGAGACACAGTTTGCATAGAAGGTGCTATGTAAAATATTCCTGAAATGCCTTTGTCTCGATCATATGGCAAACTCATACAGCTCAGCTGCCTAACCTGGAGGGGCACAGGTTTCACTCGGACAGTGAGCTGACCCCCCTGCCCACCAGCAGGTCACTAACAAACCCTGGTATGTGCCTACCTTCACAGAAAGATATAGTGCTTACCCTGCCATACTGAGTGTGCTCTTCCTTGGTTAATCTTCCTTTGCTGGCTGCAGCAGTGGTACAGTCTTGACTTAGAGGAATGGTCTCCTTTCCCGTAGCTGAAGATTTGACTGAACTGCCTCTTCATAAAGAAAAAAATCCTTTCAACTTTTAGCCAAGGCAGTGAGTTTTTAAAGCTGGATCTCCATACCAATCTACCTCCATATTCATGCCTATTTTGAGGGCTGCAGTTTTTAAGGTCCTCCAGAGTGACCCAACCATTGGCCATATTTATTACAGGGACTGCACTTTGTCAAGCTATTAACAAACAGAGGCCTTATGCATTTATTAGCTGTGGTTTGCTTGAAATGAAGTCAGACCTTACAGCTGCACTGGGCAGTGAATATTAAGCAAGTGTATCAGAATGTATGTGAGCTCTGGAACAAATTCTGACCCCTTGTGAAATACGGAGGAAATGTTAGTCAACCTCCACATTCAAAAGCAGCTTTCTTCCTATTCTTGAATTTTGTTTTTTTGCTCTTAACTACTGATTTACAGATCACTGGCAAACCTGTGTCATACTCAGAGCCTCCATGTAGGCTTGTATGGGCTTTGGTGCGAGCTCTTCAGTGTCTGAGACAGCTTTTAGCTTACCTGAAGGGCTTCTTCTGTGATGGACTGTTTCTACAGGTAGTGATGCCTTTGGTGCCTCCTGTAGATGTGACAGAAATGCATTTTTTTAATCTAAATGCTTTAGAATCCTGTTTTGTCCTGTATGGCCTTTGAGAGACTAGTAATATGGAGGAAAGATAAATTACAAAGAATTTCTAAGGGTAGAAATATCAAGGTAGGGCTTGAAGAATAGCACATGTAGTGGATAATTCTGTTTACTGAATTATTGTTGGTTTACCCTAAGATAGAACTGTTCAATCAAGAACCAATTTTGAGATGACGAGTCAGCTAATTTGACAGGCATATTTTTCCCCACACAGTGACAGTTTACTGTGATTGGATCTCAGCTTTAAAGGTCCATAATAAAACAAATATAAGACTGGTTTTTTCAGTTCTATTCTCCTTTTTCCTCTTCCCAACTATGAACAGCAGCACTCCCCCTTCCAGTTCTTTAATATTAATAATTTTAAGAAAACAACAGACTGATGGATTTAGGAACAATGGTTCCAACTCATTTGTGTTACCTGGAAAACCAGAGTCTGCCTTCTCTTCTGCAGCAATGTGTGAATGGAGAAATTCTGCAAAGGCCCCATTTCTCTGTAGAAGTTCTTGGTAGGAACCAATTTCTGAGATTGTTCCATCCACCAGAAAAACAATGTTGTCCACTTGAGGCAAAATGTTAATTGTGTGAGTCACCAGCACACGAGTCTGCTTGAACAAAGAGGGAACAGTCAAAATTGTTCTGTTGTTTCCCTGCTCACTCAAGCTGTTGCAGTAAGCTTTCTTCTGAGGAAAGACGTACCCAGTGTGAGTTGTGATTTTTACTAACTTGGAGATATTTTTGTGTTTTATTACTGTAACTTCTGATTCTCTCTTTGGTGAAGTTTATCTTTGCAGCACAGCTTTGTGCCCATTTTGAAAGTGCAGAACTCGGGAGTGGAGGGGTGAGTCCACTCCTGTCATGTCACACGCAACTTGAAAGAATGAGGATGGGAACTGAAGCTTGAAATCTCAGGCTAGAGCCCTGTGTGGAGAAGGACCTTTTGCTGGGCCCACTGATGAGTTCCATGTTTCTAATTGTCCTCAGGCTGAAGCTGTTCAGTAGAATTATGTTAACTGAAGAGTTTGTCACATTTATTGTCCCTGATACCAGTATTTCACAATGAAGTTCATGCCTGAAAACTTCATCAACCTGAATGTAGTTACAGTGCAGCTCCTTTTCATCTAAATTGCTGGGCATATTTGCACAGATAGGTACATGTTGGAAAGGACCTAAGAAACGTACTTTTTCCCTTGATAACAGATTGTCATCTGTTTCTAATATATAATCAAGCCCTTTGAGTACTGCTTAAGCTTGATACTTGCTTTCTTTGTATTTCTATGTTTTAATAAAATAATTACATTCTGATACTTGCAAGCAATCTACACATGAAGATAAAGATATCTGTAATCAAATATGTCTGTTTTAATTGGACTTTCTAATGAAAGAAATTACCTCTTTTCCTTCCACAATATGAAACTGAATCAAGTATTTGTAAGCGCTTTATACCACAAAACAAACAGAGCTGGCCTAGCACCCTATCTCATGTAACCACGTTTCTTTTCCAGACTGCCTGATAGCAGAGAAATACCAAGGAACAACAAAATACAACCAGTACAAAAAAAGAAACAAAATAGAAATGTTTAAGATGGATTTTATGAATGAAGTTTAAGTGATGAACACTTGGGTGGTGAGGCCTCTAAAGGAGTCACTGAACTATTCCAAAGTGATGGAATTAGACATGCTAAGAAGGAATCAGACAGTTCTACCTAACTATAATATAAGTAAATCTCAAAAAGGGAGAAGGGTAATGTCGATGGAAGACCAAAGAACTATGAACTTGCTCTGGAAGTAAGACTGGAAGTAGGCATGTGGTTTGCATGAGGGTAAGGACAGTCTTTAGGAGAATCTAACCTTTCAGTCTTTCTCAACCTAGATGCAATTCACTGCAGGACTTCATGTGCTGCATGGACTGCAGAGGTTGCCCAGCTACCCCTGTTGTTAAACAGTAGCACCTGCTGCCACTAGTATAAAAGAATTTGGGAGCTTTTGATGAAGAGAATAACCCATCTTACTGGAAAAACTTCAGAGGCCCTAACAATTAGATACATTTTGCAGTCTTTTACATTTCAGGACTTAGAATGCACCTTGTCCTTCAGCAAGCCATTGGGTCCAAGGACATGTTCAAATATTTGCTGTCCAACATGGGCATCGATGGCTGAGAGGGGGTCATCTAGAAGGTAAATTGAAGCCTTCTGGTACACAGCACGAGCAAGGTTCACTCTTTGCTTCTGCCCTCCAGATATGTTTATTCCCTGTAAAAAATAAATTCACGCTGTTTGTTCCAATGCTAGTGCATATTTCCCAACTGTTGGCCCCATTTTTACATGGAGGTTTTAGGACTTTGTTATTTTTTAAAATTATTTTAGGACTTAATATTTTTTTTAAATTGGTGCTTCTGTCTCCTTCTGTGGTCTCCCTGCCTCCCTCCAAGTAGGGCTCTTGAGATGCAGAGGCAGGTTGCCAGAGTTGTCACTACTCATTGACAAGTTGGCCAAAATATAAACCTAAGCCAGTACCTTCTCTCCTATTTCACTCTTCTGCCCTGCAGGGAAGCTCTCCAAATCAGGTTGCAGTGCACAAGCATCTATCACTCCATTGAACCATATCTCATCCATCTCTCTCCCAAAGAGAATATTATCTTCCACTGAAGCATTTTGTATCCAAGCTTGCTGGGGGACATAAGCTGTAGTGCCCTATAAAAAGGGAGGTAGAAGAATGTTAATAATCTCTTCCATAAGCTCAGCTTGACACTGTGGAAACTCATCTTTGAAGAAGAACTCTCCTAGTTAGCTTTACAGAAGTCTGTAATGATCACCATTGATGGGTCTCAACATTACAAAGTAAGAGTCTGCACTTCCATTATCTTGTAGAGAAGAAAACAAGTGCAAGTACATGACAGGATTTCCCACAATGCCACTTCAGCTCATTGTCAGAGTGGGAACTGGAACTGGATCTTTGAAGTCCTGCTTCAGTTCCCATTCCCAAGAGCCAGACTCACCTGAGAAGTCTTAAGCACCTTCAGATAATTAAATGCAGTTTGCTACATGCAGCCTTTGTTAGAATTCAGCAGTAAATGGGTTTTCATCAAGGACCTGATGTCTTGGTTAATATCTTACTGTTCCTGAAGACAGCCTAAGTAGAAGCAAACACTCAGGGAAATTCACCTTCATGGTCACACAGCCGTCTATCTTCTCCAGCTCACCAAGTAATGCTGACAGCAAGGAGGACTTCCCAGCACCCACCTGGCCAACTACAGCAAGCAAGGAGCCTTGGGGCACAGTAAGATCTATCCTATGGAGAAAAGATAGGTCACTTACCACCTTTAAGATACACCTTCTGAAAAGAAAATGACCAAAGTTCTTCCTGTTGACTTGTATCAATACCACCAACTTAAGCCCCCTAATTTCATGCTTGAGGCCTCTGCACAGGATCAGTATTCCTGTCATGCCGACATTTTGCAGCAGAACAGGAGTCATCACTTAAAAAACACGTCCACCACATCCCTATCTGTGTTGTAAACACAGAGCCAAGACCCACGTTCCTATTTTGGAGATAGTTTAGCCCAAAGCACCTGGATAAAAAGCATTCCTAAACATAAAACTTTTCAACTCTGTTTCTTCTCTAAAACCACAATGTCTTTTGAAATAAGCAGGTAGTGAAGTCATACCTGCAGACTATAATTTCTACTTTTTTTTTTTACTTAAATTTCTGTAACTTCTCATTTGGACAAGAAAATTGTGTAAAGAAAGCAGTCTCCATGTATTAAGGTAATGTCAAGATACAGGCACCTTCCCATTTATGTGCATAAAGGCATAGAGGCAAGATCACGTTTTGTCTGGCTTCATAATTTCCAGAATTCAAGGTTAAATATGAAGCAAACTTGGAAGCCTCTAGATATTCCACACTGGTCTCTGGCCCTGAGAAATTAGTTCATTCAGTACCCACCCTGACCTACAGAATTGAGATGACTTAAGAGCAAGTCAGTACCTTCTGAGACAAGGAGAAGTTTCTTTGCTCCAGCAAAAAGTCCCATTTTTTATGGTGATACTTGCCTGTACTAAAATATGAGGAGAAATAAAATGCTTATAAATTCAAAGATAAGTACAGAAACATCCCTATTTATGTGACTTTCTGTTTTGGTGTGTATTTATATCACATAAAATGAACCTTAAGTAAGAGAAGACTTTTAAGTGCCAAATGAGTTTTCATAATTAGAAATAAACAGGCCTGAGAGTAATAAAGTGACAGTAAGGAGCAAGCATTTGTCTCTTGAGTACAGCAGGCACCCTAAGAGTGGAACACTGGAAGCTACCCCTCTTGCATGACAACAATTCTAACACTAAAAGCTCACCACAGTCAGAAGTGTTTCTGCTTGAGCTCTTGGGAGTCAGTTCTTCCAGATTCAGAAAAGCAGCTAGGCGGTTTAAAGAAACTTTGGCCTGAAATGAAGAAGCACACAAAAGAGTAAGATTTAAAATAGAAAAGAAACTAAAACCCAGAGTGAACACTCAACTTGAAGACCCACTTAGAATGTTGACTAGATGCTATAGGCTTAGATGGACAAGTGCAGCTCTTTTTATTAACCACCTTTACTTCCTCTTAGCTTAGCAAAAAACTATATTCTTCTGTGTGTTTTCTATTCACACAGTGAAATTGGTGTTTTCTTTCTCCAGTTCATCCTGCAGTCTTTCCAGTGTTTGCTTCCATACATGCAGACTTCTTGGTGTGCAAGAGGGAAACGTCATTTCACAATGTCTTACTGGACAAAATGACTTGCTTTTCTTTCTGGCCTAGGCTGCTGCATTTCCACTTATCTCCCATGAAGATTTTGCTCCATCTACTCTTATGTCTTTGATTAGAAACATAACTGGAAGCACCTCTGAGATCTTAACTGTCCTTGTGATTGCTCCCAGAAGACTTAAGAGTTGATTACTACTGTCAAAATATAGAGACTTTTTAAAAAACAATACTCCAAAGTACCTTTAGATGCAAGTCCTTGCATTTCACTGTTTCACCACAACAATTTCATAGCTGGCCCTGACGTTCAAAGCCCTAAGAAATCCCTACCTTTTCCTGTTAATGGTGATACGTAAAAAAGCCACTTACAGCCACAGAGAAAGGAACATGGCCTGCAACTAACCTGGACAAAAGCATTTATG